GAACTGATTTAAAAAAAAAAAAAAAAATGCTCGAAGTAAAAAAGTGAAACAACCCTTGACCTTGACAGCAGATTGGAGAAGCAGAAAGACTGGGGTCGGGAGGAAAGCAGTGCCTCCAGGACTCCAGGAGATTGGCTAGCACCGGGTTGGGAGCAGAATGGTATGTAGGATGATGACTGATTGGTTGGGTTTTTTGTTTTGTGTTTCAATGGAAAGGTATCAACTCAGAATAAAGCTCATAACTGTCTATTATGTCTTACACTGCATGGAATGGAAGTTTGTAATAGTAGTCTACAGGAGGTGTGTGTAAGGGGAGGAATTTCCTGGTTATAAGGAGTCTTTACCTGATGAAGTATGGTGTTAACTCCAAGTGAACTGAAGTAAATTAAGGCTGTGTTTATAATCTTTGGAGCAACCATTAAATAACACACACACACACAGATGAGGAAGGATATATGACTACAAGTGAAAAAGTAAAATTATATTTGAGTAATTCAAAGGAATGAAATTCAGAAGAATAAAATTAGGTACAACAAACAGCAAAATCAAAATTTCAAAACCATACCAATAAAATGTAATTGGAATTCTTTTTTTCATTTATTTATTTATTTATTTATTTTTCCAAAGACAGGGTTTCTCTGTATAGCCCTGGAACTTGATCTGTAGATCAGGCTGGCCTTGAACTCAGAGAGATCTGCTTGCCTCTGACTCCTGAATGCTGGGATCAAAGGCCATGCACAACCACCAACTGGCTAAGGTAATTAGGCGTGTTCCAATTAAATGCCAGAGATTGGTAAAATGAGTAAGAAGCCATGCTGAACTATACACACACACACACACACAATCTTAAATATTAGTAGAAGATTGAAACACATAGGGAAGAAGATGATGTGGCATGCAAAAAATAAGCACAGAAAGCTGGTACAGGGTAGGAATATCACATGATGTAGACTTTGATTTAAGATATTTGAAAATGGTGTTATGAAGCATAATTTATAGAACCAGGTAAGAGTCCTAAAAGTGTCTAATAACAGTTTCAATGTCTGTGAAACACTTAACTTGCGGTAATATCTTGTTTGTACAAATAAAACGTGTCTGAAGATCAGAGGCTGGAGCTAGCAACTAGCTAACCATAGAGGTATGGAGGTCTGTACAGACAGACAGGAAATGAGGTAGCTGGCAGAGAAAGGAATATAGGCGGGAGGAAACAGGAACTTGGTCTCTTTCCCGCTGTGAAGCTAGTAAGGTAAAAGTGGCTGTGGTTTGCTCCTTCTCTCTGATCTCTCAGCATTTCTCCCAATATCTGACTCGGCTTTTACTATTAAGGCCAATTAGAACTTGAAACGCATGTTACACTGATCCAACAAAAGGACTTGTGAAAAACAGTAATCATTGATGGAAACTTGACATTCTCTTTTCTGTATTTGATAGAGCCAGGAGATGGTATAAGACTAGCATATGTGGACTGCCTTATAGACCAAGGTAGTGTTATAACTGACATAGAACACAGCCCTAAAGCTGTGGAACCCTGCCCTTTCTCTGTATGCATGTTTATGCTGTGTAGGTGCGTTTTTGTGTTTATGCATATGATAGGTGTCACTCAGGAATCCTCCTGACTCTGCCTCCTCAATGCTGTGTTTACAGGCATATGCTGCCATGCTTGGAATTTTTGTGTGGGCTCTGGGGATTAAACTCAGATCCTCATGCTTTTGTGACAAGCACTTTCTCTACTGAGCGATGTCCCCAAACCCCAACTATTTTAAACTTAAATTCCTCTGGAACATATTTCAAAATAGTTAATTCATATGCCCAGTTCCTAAACAAGTTTCATTAAATTTCAAAAAGCTAAAATATTACATTGTATATGACCACAACAGATTAAAATCAGAAGTCGATAGCTCTGAGCTGTTTAGGAAATACCTACCATTCTTATTTAGAAGTCAAGAATTCACAAGGACACCAGAAACATCAAGGTTTATGGAATGTTCCAGATTCCCATTTGAAAACAGGAAACAAAATGAGATTCACCTGCTTTTTATACAGGGACAACTGTATAAACTAAGTAATCCAGAATCCTATTTCAAGAAGCTAGTACAAGCAGGGTGGTGGTGCACACACCTTTAATTCCAGCAGAGGCAGGCAGATCTTTAGAGTTTGAGGACAGCCTGGTTTACAGAGCTAGTTGGACAGCCAGGGCTTCACAGAGAAACCCTATCTTGAAAAAACAAACAAAAAAGAAGAAGCTAGTACAAAAATGGTAAATAATAGCAAGTGGAAAAAAAAGCATGTTTACAGCAGAAATCAATGAAATAGAAAATGGAATGATAATGAAGAAATTTATCAGAGCAAAAAAGAAAACAAAGTTGGTTCTATGAAAAGGTAACATTGGCAAAATGTCTAGCATGGATGGATTGGTTTTTTAAAAGGGCTTTAAAAGGAATTAAGGAATGCCGATATTTTAGCAATTTAGAAGACATGGTCAGATGTATTGTGTTGGAAGATACCTGGACCACGTCACATATTTAAGGTGCTTACTTGAGCACCTACAAAATGGTGCAGCTCAGAGCTTGGCTGGAGGGTGTTGGTGGAAAGTTCTTTTGTTTGTGGTTCAATCCACAAGGGAAGCAAAGTTATTTGATTGGTTGAAGTTTGAGCAATTGTCTTTTTTGGACCTTTCCCTGGAGCAGTTCAAGAAGATGTAAAGAAGGCCTACTTGAGCTGGGTGTTGGTGGCACAGGCCTTTAATTCCAGCACTCGGCAGGCAGATCTCTGAGTTCGAGGCCAATCTGATTTACAGAGTGAATTCCAGGACAGGCTCCTGGAACCTGTCTCAAAAAACAAACAAACAAAAAGACCAAAAAACCCAACTACTTGGCTACCTGTAATTGGCTGAACTTGTCTCCTCTTCTATTTCTAAGGCCCCTTTGCTGAGTCTTTGAGTTGCTCCAGTGTAATAAATTCTCGCTTAGTTATTTTTTTATCATTAAAAAAAACATAACTTACCAAAATTGGTTCAAGATGAATTTTTAAAAATATGGATAGCCTTATATGTACTCAATTGAATCCAAACAAATGTAACTATAAATCCTAGCCCAAATGGTCTTTTTGGTGAATTCTGTTGATACTTAAGGGGAAAAAATATTGCTAGTACATAGACTCTTAGGATACCAGCACAAAAAAGTATTCCAAGAAAATTGCAGACCAATATCCATTATTAACACAGACAAAAAAAAAAAAAAAAAAAAAAAAAAAAAAAAACCAACTGCATGAAAATACTAGCAAATTGAATAAAGAAGCATATAGAAAAGATGATATATCATCATTAGAAGAAATTTATTCCAGGAATTCTAGACCTGTTTAACTTTTACAAGTCAATCAATGACATAAGCATGTTAGCACAAATTTGTAATCCTAGCATTCCAGAAGCCCGAGGAGGAACAGTTCAAACGTCATTCTAGGCTACATAGTGAGCTGCAGGCCATTTTAGGCTACATAGGACCCTGTCTCAAGCAAAACAAAATAAAATCAAGCAATAAAATTTGGCATGTTAACAAAATATATGATCACCTCAATAGATGAGGAAAAAGACAATTGAAAAATTCACCCATGCTAAAGAAAAAAAAATTTAAAAACTACAAATGTCATTAATCTGACAGGGAGCATCTGTCATAGTTTATGTCAACTTTCATAAATCTAGACTTTAGGATGAGGGAACCTCAACTGAGAATGGCCTCCATGAGACCTGCTTATACTGAAACATCTGGATTGCTAATTGATGCAAAAGTGCCTGTTGTACTTCAAACACTATTATCCCTAGGGGGGTTGACCTGGGCTATATGAAAGGCATTCTGAGCGAGCCGGTGCAAGCAAACCGGTAACCTGCATTCCTCCATGGTTCCTGCTTCAGTTCCAACCTCCAGGTTTCTAAAGCCTTGAGTTCCTGCCTTGGCTTCCCCTGATGATGGACTTGAAAGTAGGAAACCAAATAAACACTCTTGGTCAGGAACAGGAAGCAGATTATATGCTCACCCCTGATCATTTCCAACTGAGATTAGTGATAAACTTTGTCTATTCTCACCAATTTTCTAATAGAGGCCTCAGGGTGGTATAAGGAAAGAGAAGGAAATGAAAAGCATGAAGAGTTGGAAAACTATAAGGAATGGAAATTAATAAAAGTCATAAGGTGGGTGGCACATGCCTTTAGTCCCAGCACTTGGGAGACAGAGGCAGATGAGTCTCTGAGTTGGAGGCCAGCCTGGTTTACAGAACAAGTTCCAGGACAGCCAGGGTTACACAAAGAAATCCTATTTCCTAAAAGCAAAAATAAATTTTAATTAATAGTTATAAAGCCATGAAAGAAAGAAGACTGATAAATTATATTTTATTAATATAAATGTAATTCTCAAAAAGCACCTTTAAGAAAGTTGAGGTAAGCTGCTAACAGGAAGATGATATTTAAATATATATATATATATGTATATGTATATATGTGTGTGTGTATAATTTTTCTGTTCAATATACACACGTAACACGTAAAACAGTATAATAGCTTAAAATATGCGGGTATGTGTTCAGAATCATTAATTATATGGGAAAATAAAACTGCTGGGTACCATCTGTACCCAGCAGATGCATGTGTGTCAGTGGGGATGCAAACTGGTATGGTCACTTTGGAAAAGAGGTTATAGTATAGTTTCCTAATAAAGTTAAAGTGAAGATTTCTGCAGAACCTGGCTTATCTGTCGGAAGAGATAACCGGTGTCTCCATTTTTCGAAATCCATTGAACTGTACACTTCAACCGTGCGCACTTTATAATATAAACCGCGTAACTCCAAAAGCAGTCCAGTTGCCAAGGTGCCTCTGGGTCCCTCCTGGCCAGTGGCTCCCTGGTTGAGAAACGAAACTGGATCCCCGCCCCCAGCGCCGGGAGGGCAGTTTCGATTTCCTCTCTCCAGCCCTGGTGGCTTGTGTAACGCTCTAGGTGTCCTGGAAAATCCCCACCGCGCTAATCTCTGGGGTCTTTTCGGGGAGCCAGGGCGCTCATCACTCGCGGGGAGCAACAGAATGACAGCTGAACAGCGGCAGAATCTGCAAGCATTCAGAGACTATGTCAGGAAGACTCTGGACCCCACCTACATACTGAGCTACATGAGTCCCTGGCTCCAGGATGGTGAGTGGTCCCTGATGCCTCTGGCTCTCAGGCTCTCCTCCTTGGTTAAAAAAAAAAAAAGAAGAAGAAGAACCACTCAGGCCAAAACCTGGCCTGTTTCTCCCAGATTTTCTGCTTTCTTTAGGCCAGTTTGGGTAACTAACCTAGGAATACCGGGTTTGTGCCAGAACCCCAAGGCATATTAGAATGGACAGCATCTGGGTTTGATGGGCAGGGACAGAGTTCCTGCAAAGTGTAAGGATGCCACTTTTTTTTTTTTTTTTTTTTAACCTTCAAGGGAAATCGTCTGTTTATTTTATTTACACTAGTCTTGTGATGATTCCCGTTGTCCTGGTATGAGAGATTGAGAAATAATAATGTCCCCCCTTTAACTGCCCCCCTTTCCCCCGGTAGATTGCTGTACAGGGCAAGACTTTGGGGCAAAGGTAGAGGTGGACATGTTTCATTCATCTTTACATTCTAGTAAACACAGTGCCATGTGTCCAGAAGGTGTTTCTAAGAAATGGATACTGAGAATACCACCCATCCAGTGCTCCTCTAGGGGAAGGGCAAGCATGTGACTCCAAAGGGAGAAAACCCTATACCCACTCCCAGGCCTGCTCCGAAACATCTGGGAATCAGCAAAGCCCTCCACTACACAGGGAAACACCTAAGTTTTTCAGAAGAAATATGTTTTCAATAGTTCTCTCATGAGGTGTAGCCAGTGCTCATAATCATAAAAGCAAAATTTGAAAAGAAAGTTATAATGAAAGGGAAAGGCGTGGAGAGTGTATGAGTAAATTCCCACTGTTTTCTAATAAAGCAAAAAATGTAAGTCAGAAATCTTATACCCAGCCATAGTACTTATTAGTGTCCCAGGTCCCTTATGCATCCTTACTGATAGGATATATATATTTGTTACAAAATTAGCGTCAACCAATAGAATCCAAAGCACCTAAAGGGGCCAGTGCAAGGAAGAGAGGGCAAGGGAAAGAATGGAGAATATTACTAATCTCACAGAAAATTGAAAAAGAGGAGAAAACAAAGTACTTATGAACAAATATGATAAATTATAAAAACATAATCAAGCAAGATACGATCACCTTCTTAAAAATAAAAAAAAAAAAAAAAAACAGAACAAACTCATACAGCCTAGATAAGAGCTTTGCTACTGAGCTACATTCCCAGCCTCATATAACCAGCTTTATTGCAAGCTTCTGAGGGAGGGGGATAGGTATAAGGAAAAGTATGGGCTCAGGATCCCCAAGACCAAGTTCTCAGCACAAAGGAGATTTATTTGCCCCAGAAAAACAGAGGGCAGGGATAAGACAAAGATAGGAGTTAGAGGACCAGAGATACAGAAAAGGAACAAGAGAGATTGTGAATGGATAGTTTTGCTCTAGAGGACAAAGGCTGCCTCTGGATAGAGAGGAGACATACATGACCCATAGGAAAATGGGTCATAAAGGGAAAAGGGAAAACCTCAGTGTTAAGATGAGGTATTTGATTTTCACTGGGCATGTTAATTAGGTGAGCCAAAGGGGGCTTCTGATTGCTGAATTTCTAGACTTTGATAGCTGGACCTTGGTCGTCAGTCTCAGGAGGAGGAAATGGCCAAATAAGAGAATAGACCTTGGTGGTTAGCTTCAGGAATGTAATCTAAAGGTTTTTTTTAAAGAAGGCAGAGGGAATGGGGGAGAAGGGCAAGGCCTGTCAGAGCTATGTCAGTCACACTGGAGTTGGCCAGAATCCCTTCAATATGTAGAGACGAAAAACAAAACACTCCAATGTATCTCTAATAACTAGAGTTTTTTAAAAAATTATACAATCTTCCACATATCTTTTTAATTTACAGCAAGTTTTATTGTTTGCTTTTTGGCTTTTGTTTGTTTGTTTTTTCAAGGCAGGGTTTCTCTGTGTAGCCCTGGCTGACCTGGAACTTGCTCTGTGGACCAGGCTGACCTCGAACTCAGATTCTGCTTTTTGTGTGCTGCCACCACCTGGGCAATCTCAAGTCCTTCTATCATGGCTGTAGTATAACTATGAACTAACTTGGGGAGATCTAACACATACACAGACTTGCATCCTAATCTGGCCTTTATCACAATGCATGAATGCATATTCCCCAATATAACCCAAAGTTTGCTGGACCCTAATAATCTTTGTAAAGCAGATACAAAAGCAATCCAACTTCAGTTGTTCTTAATAATTTGTTTCCTCTTTTTATCACTGTCTTATTTGTTCGTTTTGTTTTTGTAGACACAGTTTCTCTGTGTAAACAGTCCTGGCTGTCCTGGAACTTGATCTGGTCTGTAGACCAGGCCTCCAATTCACTGAGATTCTCCTGCCTCTGCCTCCCAAGTGTTGGTACTAAAGGTGAGAGCCACCACTGCCCAGCTTATGTTTTTTGGTTTGTTTGCTTGGTTTGGTTTGGTTTTTCAAGATAGGGTTTCCCAGTATTGCTTTGGAGCCTGTCCTAGAACTAGCTCTGTAGATAGACCAGGCTGGCCTCGAATTCACAGAGATCTGCCTTCCTCTTTCTCCCAAGTGCTGGGATTAAAGGCATGTGTCACCAACGCCCAGCTGACAAGACTCAGTTTAAAACATAGGATGATAAGGGGCTGGAGAGATGGCTCAGCAGTAGGGAGAATGTACCGCTCTGGCAGGGGACCTACCTTTGGTTCCCAGAACCCAAATCAGGCTGCCTATAACTCCAGTTCCAGAGAATCCAACACTCTCTTCATATGCACATACCCCCACACAGACACTAAATAATCACCCTAGGTTTTAACCTGACTCTCCTTTTCACATCCTGTGCTCTCAGTTTTGAAAGGGTTGTTGACTCACTTTTTGAACTCAATTTCTAAGGGTTCTTTGAGTCTTAGGAAAAGGTTTCATTTCTAACTGTTCATTCTGGAATATAAAAACATGCACCTTTTTGCAGTTAGACTAGAGGAACTCTATTAGTTCCAGTTCTCATAGGGACATTTTTTTCTTTATTTTAGCTGACTTGCTTTCTTTGGGTCTTTCTGACTATTACTGTTTCTCATTGCTATTGTTGTTTGTTTGCATTGCTTTGTTTTAATAGAGCCAGTTTCACTAATTCCTTAGTTTCATTCTTTTGAATTACCAATTAATACACTTAAGCTGTAATTTTCCCTGTTTGGAGGCTTAGCTTGTAACAGGGGTTACTATTCACAGTAGCCTCAAACAAACAACAAACCCTAATCAAAGAGTCGAAAGACTACTTCAGTGCAAACTTTCAAGACAGAAAAGGCAAAAGAACAAAACAATTGCTTTCATCTTAAAGGAAATATGAGACAGTTTATTCTGGAGCCATTCTGAGTGACCATGGCCCAGGAATACATATTAGGTTACCCCAAACTCTTTTATGAAGTTTCATCCATCATCTATTGATGGACTTTTAGACTGTTCTGTTTCCCAGTCATTGTTAATTATCCAGTGTCTCCCCCAGGTTGAACCCCTTGTTGGGAATCAGCAGTCTGCTGACCCCGCCCCCGACGATGGGCAGGACGCTCATGGCTTTGGCATAGCTAAGTCAGGCTTTACCTGGCTGCTCAGGGGACTCAGTTACGCATGCACAAGCCCCCCTTTTAAAGCAAGCAAGCCAAGTGGGCCTCTCTCTGGCCTTCTCTCTCTCTCTTTGCTCTTTCTCTCTCTGGCCTTCTCTCTCTCTCTTTGCTCTTTCTCTCTCTGGCCTTCTCTCTCTCTCTCTCTCTCTCTCTCTCTCTCTCTCTCTCTCTCTCCCCCCCCCTGTTTTCCATTGGCCACCAGCTACTCCTGTTTCTCTCCCCTCTCTCTATAAACTCCATGTGGGCTCTGAGTTTCGTGTTTGTGTTTCTTAGGCAATAGTTGTATCAAAAGAACAACCCCCCACCCCCGTTTTCTTCTCTTACTTCTCCCTATTTTCTCTCCTCTAAAAAAGTTGCCTTGGCCTGGCCAGCCTGCCTTTTTGTCTGCTTGCTCTGGACTCTTCCAGATACCTCTGTTTGCTCTCTCTCTCTCTCTCTCTTATGTATAATAAAAACCTTTCCCCTAACCACAGAGCTATTATTTCAGTGGTTCTAAAGAAACACTGAATAAGTAAGTGGTGTATAAGCCATATGGTATGTTGGATTTAGACTTCTTTGAGAATATGTCCAAGAACAGTACCTAGCTGTGCCATATGGTAATTCTGTTTTCAGGTTTGTTTGTTTGCTTGTTTCTTTGTTTAATAAACCACCGTGGTGATTTCTACGGCAGCTACACAAGTTTATGTTCTCTACAGCAGTTGGGTCTTTCCCTCCAGATCCTTGTCAGCATGTCTTGCTCCTTGTTCCCTTGACAGATAGCCAGTCTGATTGGGGGTCATTGTCCTGTCAATGATGGTCTTGGCTGTTTGGGGTCTTTTGTGCTTCCTTGTGATTTTTTTTTATTTTTTATTTTTGCATTGACAGTGGCAAACCTACAGACAACATTATTCTAAATAGGGGAAACAGAGCATTTCCTTTAAAATCTGGAATGAGACAAGGGTGCCTGGTCCTTTTATTATTCAATATAGCTCTTGAAGACTCAGGAAAAAACAATAATACAAGAGACATAAATAAAAATTGACACAACTAGGAAAGGAAGAAGTCAAATTATCTCTATTTGCAGACAATATAATCCTATAAAGACCCCAAAGACTCCACCAGAAAACTCTCAGCCCTCATAAAACTTTCAACAGAGTGGCAATGGCAAGATACTGGCAAGAAACACAATAAACATAGAGAAACTAGTGGCTTTCTTACATACCAATAACAACCTTGCCAAGAAAGAATCAGGGAAAGGAGAGGGTCCTGTTCTCAATAGCTTCAAACAAACATCAAACTCTAACCAAAGAGGTGAAAGACCACTGCTGGGCAAACTTCTAGACACTGAAGAATGAAATTCATGAAGGCTGTAGAAGATGGAATGATCTCCCAAGATGGGTAGAATCGATACTATGCAACTGGCTATAGTACCAATCTACAAATTCAACATAATCCACATTAAAAAAAATATCAATCTGCACATCCTCTTCACAGAACTAGAAAAAGAGGGAAGGAAGACTTCTTAGATGGCAGAGGGAGAGTGATGGAATGCATGTCCTAAGAAAGCACAAGAGGGGGCCATCTGGGAGAGGCAAGGAAACCATGCAGATGGAGGGACAGGTAAAAAGAGATACAAAAGCAACAGAAGAGGGGAATGAACAAGAACAAAGACTAATGACAGGAATGTATGAAAATGCCTTAATGGACCTCGTTACTTTGTATGTGAGTGTAAATCACTAATGAGAAGATTAAAAGAATAGAAGTCACACCACCTTGTATGTTGAGATGTCTTACGTGGGTTTCCTGTCTTCAGGGTTCAAGCTACTCCAGTCATTAGGGTGACTTTTTCTACTCTCTAGCAGGACTGAGTGGAGACCCTGCTTGGTCTTTTCCACCTTGCTGCACAGCCTGTTTAGGCTTCAGGGCAAAGAAGCCCAGGAATTAACCTGTAGTTTCCACCATCAATTCAACACCGGGGAAGACAACAAGGCACTTGTAAAATGAAAAGTAACTGCTAAATGTTGTTATCCAGACTCCCTTCATGCACCACCTCCCATCACCGCTCAGGCGAAGTCTCTGTGTGCTCATCTCCAAACCTGGAAAGAGTTTCAATCAAGTCTCAGAAGGTAGATGTGAACAACTGTCTTTTGCAGAGGTTTCAAAGAGAATAGGGAGGCACAGAGAACAGTTTTTAAATCCTCTACCCTGGGAAGCTGAGGAAAGACATCATGGGGGATGGGGCTTAGGGCAAAACAGCAAACACAGTGGGAGCTGTCAATTTTTCCAAAAGATGGAGTTTCTTCTGCTTTGAAATCCTGGTGATTTGGATGAAATCATTACTGACTTGTAAGCAGTTGTGTTGGATATGGTGAGCAGCAGGATGAGCCATACCAAATGCAAAGTATGACAAGACAGTTTAACCTGGAAGGCCCCCACTGTGGCTGGGATGCATCTGGTTGTCGTGGCATATCAGTGATGGCTGCTCTTAGGGAAGATGGTGTCATAGGAAGCAAGAGCACAGCTGTAAGCAATAGGACAGATGACAGTAATAGGACATCTAATAGCTATTACTAATAGAACAGATGGACTCAAAGAGATAAGGTTGTGGACCCAGGGAAGCTGGGTGAAGCGACCAGATGGGTTGCTGTCATGAGTTGAATTATGTTGGGGTGCTAATTCCTAGTAACTCAGAACATGGTCTTATTTGGAGATGGGGGTCTTTACATAGGTAACTGGCTAAGATGGGATCATGTTGGAGTAAGGTGGTATACAGTGTGACTGAGATCCCTAGGAGATGACAGTCATGTGTAGCATAAAGATCAAGGAAAATGAAGATAGAGGCAGGTGTGTAGTGAGAGCTATAAGCCAGTGTGAAGATGGGCAGAGGCTGGAGCGCAAGAGGTCACACTTGAGGAATCTTGATGGCTGCTTCAGCTGGAAGAGGCAAGGAAAGTGTTTGCTCTAGTCCTCAATGGAATCATGGCCAACACTTAATTTCAGATGTACATATCTGCTAGCGGCCTGTTGAACACCAGTTATCACCTGCTGTGTTTCTCATGGCCCCTAACAAGTACAGGCTTAGAGCTGTGAAAAATATGCTTCTATTGCCTAAAGTTATGTGGTTTGTGTCAAAGTGTCCTTGCAGCCACAGGAAGCTCATACAGATGGCTTAAGGAAAAGGACAGTCACAGGCACTGGTTAGGATGTACAGAAAATAAATATCAGATTGCATATTTGTGCAGCTGTTTTAGAAAATGGTTTGTCAATTCTGTACAATGTTCAAAACAAAATTACTGCATGGCCCAGTGGTCTCACATTTATATGTGTACGTAAGAGAAGAGCACTTGCCCAAAAATTGTATATGAGCACTATGGCGGTTTGAATGAGACTGGCTCATATACGCTCTCTAAGAATGCATTGGAAACCACCAATCACCAGATTGGAAGAACTGTTTGAAAGGATTAGAAGAATTAGGAAGTGTGACCTTGTTGGAGGAAGTGTGTCACTGAGGGGAGGTGGGCTTTGAGGTTTCAAAAGCCCATACCAATCTCAGTTTCTCCTTCTCCCTCTCTCTCTCCCTCTCCCTCCCCTCTTCTCTCTCCCTCTCCCTCTATGCCTGCAGGTCAGGATGTAACTCTCAGTTACTGCTCCAGCACTGGCCTGTATGCTGTCATGCTCCCTGTCATGATGATAATGGACTTATCCCCTGGTGCAAACCCCTAATTAGCTGCTTTCTTTTATAAGAGTTGCCATGGTCATGATGACTAGTGACTAAGAGAAGCACTCATTGGATTTCTATTCATAATAGACAAAATGCAGACACAGCCCCTGTTGACAGCTGAATGGACAAGTGCAGCCTCCATGTAATAGAATTTCATTTGGCTTGTTGCAATCTTACAGCATGGTTCTTTATTAACGGAAAGAATGACAACATATACAAGATGAATGAAACTTAAAACATGTTAAATGAAAGATGCCAGTTGCAAAGACCATATACTACATAGAACCAGTCACACAAATGCCCAGATGGAAGCCGGAGGAGCTGTGGCTCAGTGGTAGAGAGCACTTGCCTCACAAGGCCTGAAAAATCCTGAATAATAAAAACAATGAAGTCAGTTAGTGACTCTCTAGTGTGAAGGGGAGAGGGAATAGAGTGATTACTAAATGGTAAAAGGGTTTCTTTTTTATTGTAATTCAGTAGTTGGGATAGAGTCCAAACTCTAAAATCCATCAATTTTTTTCACTTTAATAGAGAAAATGTGACTGCTGAATGTAGAAGGATATTTTATCCATTTATCGCAGTCCTATTGGACCAGTTTTCCTCCACGCACTGGGTCCCACAGCTGCTTAAGAAATAACCATTCAGAGACTTAATATATCTTTATAATTGTTTGGCCATTGGCTTAGGCTTATTACTGGCTAGCTCTCTCTTAATTAATAACACATTTCTATCAATCTATTTAATAGCCTTCATTTACTGGTGATGTCTGGGGATCCTGCCTCCTCGGTAGCTACATGGCAACTCTCCTTTCTCTCCTTTTCCCTGCCTCTTTGTTCAGAATTCCCATCTAGCTAAATTCTGTCTATCCATTGGCCAAAACAGTTTTATTCATTAACCAATCTGAGAAACATATATCAATAGTATACAGAAGGACAGTAACTTTACTGTTGACAGAGATCCTTAAATGGGAGGTAGGTAGACTTCTGCTCCTTGCTCTTTCCAAACACCTTTGTTGAGTGTTATAGGCCGAGTCTCCTAGTCTCTAAGAATGTATTGAAAATCACACTGGCAACTGACTCCCTCCTTTGGGATTTGTACTCCATCTGCTGTGGAAAAAATTGGGTATGTGAGGCCACAATAGGATCGTGGCTTGGTTACTTCCTAAGTAGAGTTAGCATGTATATTGAAAATGAATACCATTTTGAAACTGGCAGTCGCTAGTGTTTTCTGCCACCTGATCTCACAGGTTTCTTTAGCTCCCTCTCCTTCCACTTTTCTGCTGTATTTTGTACTTTGTTAGCAAAAATGCAGAACAAAAGATCATACTGCTCCCTGTGTCTGCTGTGCCTGTTACTGATGCCATGGGGTGTACCCACCCCACTCTCTTAGTTCAGCCATTGCTTCAAGTTTTGAATGAGGAAGCCTTTCTCCTTCCATGTGACACTCTCCACTGTGACTTCTGCTTACTGTGGGGAACTGATCTTTTTTTTTTTTTTTTTTCAAAAGGCTTGAATACATTCCTTTCACAGGGTGCACTCTGAGACTCTGCACCCATATGTGTGAAGGACGGAAATGTGTGTTGATGAATGAAAGCAGTCTGCTTCGTCCCGAAGCCACTTCTGCTGTGGCTTGTTATGTCTTCCAGCCCATGTGGGAAGGTCTGCTCTGTTTTATCTTCCAGTGAGGAGTGAGCATGCTCACTTGTACTTGTTTCTGTTTGCAGATGAGGTCCAGTACATCCAGGCTGAGAAAAACAACAAGGGACCCATGGAGGCTGCCTCACTGTTCCTCCAGTACCTGCTGCAGATACAGACAGATGGCTGGTTCCAGGCCTTTTTGGATGCTCTGTACCATGCAGGTTGGTTTCCTCATCTTACTCACAAATCAGAGTACGTAACTGCTGAACTAGAATGCTGAAAGGAAAAGGGGTAAGGGATTGATTTTGAGGTATATAGTTCATGCCTCATTGTTCAAGGAAATGTAAACACTGTTTTCAAGCAGATGATAGAGTTGCCTACCAGAAATGTCCAAAAAAACTGCACAACTATTGTAACTGTGGGAGAGGTGGCAGTATTACTAGAGTGCTATATATCTTTCAAGAGGAGAATGAGTAAGTTTTATAGTGTTTGCATAGTGGTCCGTTATACTCAGTAAAGCTCTGTGAATGTAAATGACAATCCATCTGAATTGTGGGCACATAGTATTTAATTTTAAGTTATCAAGGTTATTATAGCTATAAAGTTCCTCCTGAGCCAAACTAAACATATTTTGTTAGTAAAGCAAACAAATGTCTTGTGACTGTTCAGACAAAAACCAAACAAGTTGACAAGTTAAACATTGTATGTTGTTATTTCTGATGAAGAGACAGAGGGGTAAGAAACAGAAGGTGCACCTAGTCCTAGAGTATTCTAATTCTTTGGGAATTTTTGCATGTCTCTTTTTTGTTTTTGTGAGACAGGGTCTGACTGTGTAGCTCTGGCTGTCCTGGAACTCAGTGTGTAGACTAGACTGTCCTGGAACTCATAGAGATCTGCCTGCTTCTGCTGGGATTAAAGGTGTGCACCATCACACACAGCCAGGAATATTCTAATTCCTAATGGAATAGTTGGCTCACATTGGACTACAATCGTGTTACATGTTTTTTGGTCTCTGATGTTGGTAGCTTATGGAGTCAGTCTTATCTAGAGATGATGGCATCATAGAGATGTCCAACTTCTTTGCTGTACATGAGAAAACTAAGGTCTGGGGGGATGCTTTGCCAGGGGTCACACAGCTGATTAGCATAAGTGCCAGAGCTGGGACCTGGATCTACTGATGCTGATTCTGTTTGAGTTGCTGCACTGACATTAGGAGGGCAGAAGTCAAGCATTCCACTTTAGCATCCAGTCAGGCCTTTGCTACTTAGGGGATTTTAGTCACATTCCTTGCCTCTCTGTTGCTCAGATTACTCACTGGTAAAAGAAGGCAAAGGGTACATTTCTTCAGTGTTATAAGCAGCAAACGAGAAAACATATATGAAAAATCAGGCACAGTGTATGTGTCTTGAAAAACGAAAAGAAAGCCATGTCAGACTACTGTTATTTTCATTGTAGGGGAATGATTTAACAGACAAGAAAATTTGTCAGCTGGCTCTGTTAGTGCACAACTTTAATCCCAGCATTGGGGAGGCAGAGGCATGTGAATTAGAGGCCAGTCTGAGCGGGCCTCACGGCTGCAAGAAACCGAGTGTTTGTGTCCCCAGGAAGCCTTACATTGTCTATGGTGATGGCAACTTTTTATGAAAGGGATGCTTTTTTTTTTAATTACTTAAAAGGATTTAAATTCCATTTATTATAAAATAAAGCTTGGTTTTCTGCTATTTCTAGGATTAGTAGTTGGTTATTGCTTCTTTTTTCTGCCTTACAAACCATCGCTGTAACATATTACCTATTGTGCATGTCAGTGATGCAGGCTTATCTTACCTGCTTATTTTTAAATTGTGTGTGTGTGTGTGTGTGTGTGTGTGTGTGTGTGTGTGTACTTGTGAGTGCATTGCCTGCAGAGGCCAGACATTCTTTTGGAGCTGGAGGTACTGGCTGTTGTGATGGTCTGACATGGGTGCTGGGACCTTATCCCGGGTCCTCTGCAAGAACATTATGAAACTTAATTGCTGAGCCAGCCCTTACCTAACAATTTAAATGGTACAGAGGGGGATAAACAGACAAGTAAACTCATCTTTTGTTTATTTTGTTCATCCCTTACATAGGAGAATCCATTGTTTTCCTTTTGAGCTCTATCTAATCTGCATATTTAAGTCTTTGTCTCTTAAGCAAAAGTGGCACATCTAACTTTTACAGTGAAAGTTAAATGAGATTTATTAGAAAAAGTCTTGCTTTTAGGCAAGAAAGGGAATTTTAAAACATCTATATTTGAACATAAGAGCTGAAACACCTCTATTTGCAGATATGATGCCTAGCACACAGCCAAAAAGAACAAGATAGACAAATGGGGCTGTACAAAAATCTAAAAATCTTTGGTTATTTTTTCTTTTTAAAAATATATTTATTATTTTTTCTTATTTTACATATCCATCCCAGTTCCCTCTCCCTTCCTCCCTCCCATGCCCTCCTATTCCCCTCCCATCTCATTTCTCCCCTCTCCCACTCCACAGGGAGGGTGGTGCCTTCCAGGAGGGATCATCAAAATCTGTCAAGTCATTTGGAGTAGGGACTAGGCCCTCCCTCCTGTCTCTAGGCTAAGGGAGTATTCCTCCATGGTGAATGTGCTCCCAAAGTCCTTTCCTGTACCGGATACATCCTGGGTCCACTGTTAGAGGTTCCTTAGACTGCCCAGACCTTCTAACTGAGACAATCATTCAGGGGGTCTGGGTAGGTCCAAATGCTGGTTTCCCAGCTATCAGTCTGGGGGGTCCATGAGCTCCCCCTTGTTCAGGTCAGCTGTCTCTGTGGGTTTCTGTAGCCTGGTCTTGTCCCCTTTACTCATCACTTCTCCCTCTCTGCAACTGGATTCCAGGAGTTCCACTCAGTGTTTAGCTGTGGGTGTCTGCTTCTGTTTCCATCAGCTACTAGATGAGGGCTCTAGGATGGCATATAAGGTAGTTATTGATCTTATTATCAGGGAAGGGAATTTAGGTTAGCCCTTCCACTGTTGCTCAGATTGTTAGTTGGGGTCATCCTTGTAGGTCTCTGAACATTTCTCTAGAGTCAGTTTTATCTTCATAACTATAATGCTCCCTCCATTATGGTCTCTCTCTCTCTCTTTTATTTTTTTCTCTCTCATCTATTCTTCCCCTGACTCAGTTTTCCTAGTCCCACATGTTCTCCTCACCTCCTCCTAAAAATCTTTGTATATCAAAGGTCACAACTAACAGAGCGGAAGAACATCCTAAAAGATAATGAATTTGGGAAGACCTGAACTGTTAGGTGCCAAAATTTTCCTTTTTGGAAAATTATGTGAACAGCCGTATTAGTTGACTTTCACTGCTATGGCTAAATGTCTGAGGAAATAGAAGGCAGAAAACACAGAGCCATGTGGACCTGTGGTTTCTGCATCCATGTGGTGAGACAGGGCCCACTGGGGGGAGCACAAGGTGAAGCAAAGTAGCACTTCTTGGTGGATAGGAGACAAAGAGCAATCAGAAGGAGCCAGGGACAAGATGCATCCTCAGAGTGCATCTGCAGTGAGTAACTTACCAGCGAGGCCACAGTTTTCAATCGCTCCTCCTGTATAAACTCAGTGGGCTAACAGTGATGAAGCCAGTGCTGGCGTGGTGCAGTCATCTGTAAAGACACCACCCACTAGGGTCCCAGCCTTCACATCCCCGGTCTGCTCTGCAGACTATAGAAGCTGAGGCCGGTGGCAGTTCCTTTTGAGGACTCTTTACCAGCGATTCAAACAGAATACCTATGGTTTTGATGTTAAAGTGTTTTATGTTGGGTTCATTTAAGAAACCCCATTTTTCTTTCTTTTCAGGTTACTGTGGACTTTATGAAGCCATCAAAAGTTGGGATTTCCAAAAAATTGAAAAGTTAGAGGAACACAGATTACTTTTACGACGTTTACAGCCAGAATTTAAGGCCAGAATCAACCCAACAGATATTCTTTCTGAAATGTCTGAATGCTTAATTAATCAGGAATGTGAAGAAATCAGACAGGTAAATTAATGCAAAGGACCAAATTTAGAGAAAAATACTGAGACTCTTGGAAATGACCTCTGTTTTCTGTATTGTTTTAGGCCCTCAAAGGGTAACTGAAACCCATAAAACCCCCTCATTTAAAAGACGTTATGACCAGAAAAGAATAAATATTAATTTATTTTTTACATTCCAATCCCTGTTCCCTCTTCCTCCTTTCCCCTCTCCATCTGCTCCATGGAAAGGGCAAGACCTCCGGATGGGGTCACTTTTATGCTGGACTTTTGAAGTATAACCTATTTTCAGTTAGTTGCCTGTTACTTTTTCTCTCAATAGTGTTTTATGCACATGCAAATCACATTGAACAGTACAGCAAATGAAAAGAAAATTGCTGGACTCTTGGACATGGATACATTTATTATAATCTTTCAGTCACTGAACTAGTGATGTGATCCTGGGCAATTCATTTAGCTTCTCTAAGCATCTGGTTTTTCATGTCTAAAATAAGAAAAATGTCCCTTATTAACATGCTGGTGGCCTTAAATGAGGTATATACATAAAGTGCTTATGTCAGCTTGATGCATAATAACACACAGTATATTTTAGTTATCATTAGAAATAAAAGTCATAGAATACCTACTCTACTGTTGTGCTGTTAAAGTTTTTCAAATCACTCTGTATACTAATATATCCTTATTGTGAATGGTTATCATATGGGTTAGCTTTTACCCTGGGATTGCTGATGGTAACAGGTGTAAGGATTCAGATGAGAACATTTGGCTTAATATATTGATATCACATATAAGGGTTAAAGGTGAAGGAAAGCATATCTTAAATGCTAGTGCTGGGTGGGGTAAACATGATGCTAACTAAGAGCTACTGAACTATACTTCACAGTGATTTTGATCAACTGCTATTTGAGTAGATGGTCCTTCAGCGGAAGCTGAGCTAACTGATCAACATGCTGCATTTGTCTCACTCAGATCTGCTTCACGAAAGGCATGATGGCAGGTGCAGAGAAGATGGTCGAATGTCTTCTCAGATCCGATAAGGAGAACTGGCCCAAGGTTTTGAAATTTGCTTTGGAGAAAGAAGACAACAAGTTTAGTGAACTGTGGATTGTTGATGAAGGTGGGCTGCTTTAAGAAAGAGCCCTGGACGATGTTGTGGCCTTCACTATTCTCCATGGGACTTCTTGCCACATTCATCCAGAACTTACTTTTCATGAGAGGCTCTATTCCCTTCAGATAACCAAGGCTTAAGTCCCTAGGGAATAAGCACAGGGAAGCTTGAGTTCTGGGAGGGAATTCGCCTACACAGCCCAAAGATTCTGTGGAAGAAGAAGAAGAAGAAGAAGAAGAAAAAAAAAAAAGAGCTTGCAGCCCAAATTTAAGTAATCAGAGAAATAGCTTGAGAATTCCAGACCTAAAGGCTCAAATTGCAAGACTTATCTCCCTACCAGAGCAGAGGCTGGGTATTGAGAATGACAGATGTTGATTAGTTCTCTTTCCTGGAAGCCATCTGAAACCAACAGAGCAGGAGTGAATGAAGAATTCACTGTGATTAAGCCAATCTTATCTGGCTTCTGGAAACTCACTCTTGCTTTAAATCTGAGTTTGACAAATACCTGAGTTTCTAGTTTTAGTTTTCAGCTAGGTTTCTTTAGAACATAAATTATCGTAGGAACTGTCTTATGTCTTTGGCGAGGGATTAGCCAGATGAAAGGCATGAGTGACTCTTTCCTGCACTTAGGAATGAATCTCTTTTGAGTGGTGTTGACAGGAGCTACCAAGAGGGGAGGGGTTCATGATGCATACAGCTAATAAGTGACACATTCCACACTTGGAGTCACATGGTTCTAAGTGACACTGGCATTCAAACACCAAGTTGAGCTTCAAACTAAAAATGATTCTTCCCATTGCTTTAAGAAGTGAAAGGGGGGGGGGCAGTGAGATGGCTCAGCAGATGAAGGCTCCTCCCTGTCACTGAGCCTGAAGACGGGAGTTCAGCCTCCAGGACCTAAATGATACAGAGAAGCAATTCCCAAAAGTTGTTCTCTGCCCTCCATGCACTCCCTGTGTGAGTGATACACACAATAAATTAACTAATAAACAAAAGAATTTAAAAAATAAAATGTAAAGAAAGTGAAAGGGCATAGTTGTAAGCGCTCAATGGAAATTTAGATTTTTAGTGTTAGGACTTTTGGTGTTTTCACAACTAACTCACAGTCAAATTACATTAAGATTCGAAGCTTTTTTTTTTTTTTTTAATCTCACAAAGGTTTCAAAAGGCTTGAAAGTAAAGCTGTTGAAGATGATGGGATGGAGATGTCCAGCATACAGATTTTCATACAGGAAGAGCCAGAATGCCAGGTTCTCAGTCAGAATCCCTGCCTACCATCAGGTACCTGGGCATCATTTGTTCTCAGAATCCCTGCCCACATTCAGGAACCATAATAATTGTCTTTCTCCAGCACTGTGATGCCTTTTGAAAAATCCTTTTTAAAGGATGATTAAGAAACAACAGAAATTGTGTGGCAATAGAGACTTCATAATTAGAATCACTGTTCCTGTCTTCTATTCCTACTCATGTATGTCCGAGTCTTGCTCTAATGTAGTGTTCCCAGAACTTCACTGTCTGTAACATTCCAAAGCAGCCTTGTTCTTTAAAAGAATACTTCTGTTTTCGAGCCACCTGCTCTGTCTCCTTCCAGGATCCCAGAGCTGCCACACAAGTCGATGAGCAGGATATGTGTCCTCTGTCAGCCTCTGTGTGGAGGCTCAAATCAACTTGTTCTCATATGCATGGTTCTGTGAAAGTTACCAATGGCTGGACAAGGCCTCTTTCTAATGCTCCTTGAAATACATCTTCATCATAAAGAGATCAGAAGGTTGTAAGATAAACCATATTCATAACAAATAAATCAGGAAGGAAATAAGATGAGTAATGAATATTGTTAGAAGAACTATGTAATTTTTTTAGGAAAAAAAAAAAGAAAAAAAGATGCCTTACAAATGAAATCAGCAAGTGAATGGCACACGGTTTCTGTCATACCAGAGTGACACAGTATGGGTTGCTTTAAATGTTTCAGACACACAGTGGTCCATACATGTCTTAAGCAAATCTGGTTGCCTCAACCTTCTGGAAGGTTTCTTCCTTTATAGTGGGAAGGTTAGACACACGAGGTGATTGTGGTCTGCTGTCTCTTGACATTTTGTGTGCTGACATGAACCCTCAGATCCTAGCCCTCCCGGTTGTGCTGAGCCATCTGGGATCCCGAGGAACATACAGCATGGTTCCTCCTTGCTAAAGTTGCTTGGAGAACCTGATGGCAACAGCTTGGTCCTTTTCAGTTGTCTTTGGGAGCCTGTTCTTACTTTGTTTTGAGTAGCTTTGCTTTGAATTAAACCATTCTTGCTTTCGTTTTTTTCTTAACAAGTTTCCATGATTAATAATGAACTCACTTTGGCTTTTCCTGTCTCCTTGCTATAGATACTTTATCACTGAGAGACAAGTGTGTGCTTCAAATCAAGGGGGAAAGTGGGACAAATAATAAGAAGCAAGATTCCAAATCTCCTAAAGGAGGCCCTTGTTGCTAGAGTCAGAAATCATGTCCACCTAACAGTAGTTAGTGCACTAGCCGTTTGGTAACTTTGTTCCTTCTATATTGTAGAAGAATCTTGTAATAATTTGCACAGCACATTGAAACCAAGAAATTACCAGCTGGAGCTTGCTCTGCCTGCTCAGAAAGGGAAGAATACAATAATATGTGCTCCTACTGGTGAGTCAGTTGCTATAACTTATGAAATTTTGTCTTTGCTTTTTCTTTTGTTTTGGGGGTACTGTGATAAAATTAACAAAAATTTTTTTCCCTGTTGCATTTGCCCTTGGGAAATCTGTCCTATCAATACAATGTATCGTTTTAAGGAACATGGACAATGAAAGAGAAATGCCCTCTTAGTTTGCCTTCAGTTCTTGTTGTTTGAGTGTATGTTACCTTGGAATTAACTTGATAGTGTTTAGCCATGGTTTAAACTGACACTATCAATGCAGATGATTATTTGTATCCCAGTGGTGACAGAGAAACCGAAAATAAGTACATTCTAGAGAAACATCTAACATTGGTTATCTGTTTCTTTTTCCTTCCATATTACAAGGTTGTGGGAAAACCTTTGTGTCACTTCTTATATGTGAACATCATCTTAAAAACTTCCCACATGGACAAAAAGGGAAAGTGGTCTTTTTTGCTAATCAAATTCCTGTCTATGAGCAGCAGGCAACTGTGTTCTCACGCCATTTTGAAAGACTTGGGTATGTATTACTATCAGTCCAACTGCTTTTTCCTTTTTTAAATTCTAGATTTTTTTCTTTGCTTTTTTTTTTTCTTTTCTGAGATAGGATTTCATGTATCCAGAGCTGTCTTCCAACTTACTGTGCAGCTGAGGTTGAACTAGAAGATATGTTCTTCTTACTTTTACCTTTCAGTTGCACGGATCACTTTTATTTTATGCCCATTGGTGTTTTGTTGCCATGTGTGTCAGATACCCTGGAACTGGAGTTACAGACAGTTTTGAACTACCATGTGGGTGCTGGGAATTGAACCCAGGTCTTCTGGAAGAGTAACCAGTGCTCTTAACCCACTGAGCCATCTCTCTAGTTCCTGTTCTGTGTTTTAGTTTTTTTTTTTTTTCCTATTTTACATATCAATCCAAGTTTCCTCTCCCTTCCTCCCTCCCAAGGCTCCCAATCACCCTCCCATCCACCCACCCCCCCTCCCCACCCACCACCCCGCCCATTCCACAGGGAGGGTGATGCCTTCAGGGAGGGATCAACAAAATCTGTAAAATCATTTGGAGTAGGGACTAGGCCCTCCCTCCTGCCTCTAGGCTAAGGGAGTATCCCTCCATGGGGAATGTACTCCTAAAATCCTTTTGTGCACCAGGGATACATCCTGTGTTTTTAAAAGCTATGATTCAAAGAAATTACTAACGACTTAGCTGTTAGAAGTAACTCTTTTGTGGAATAACTCTTTTCATTTAGCTCCTCCAGAAGTGCCAAGCCCACATGGATTGCTGGACAGAGTGAATGACTTGGTGCAGAAGTTAACATTTAGATGACACTTTGTACTTCATCTGACAAGACTATTTTATTATTATTATATTATTATTATTATTGTAAATTCTTAATTTAAATTTGAAACTAGCTTGTTTTACATGTTAGTGCTAGTTCTCAAACCATCCCTTCCTCTCCTGTCCCCCTCACCAAACTCTAGCCCTCCCCAGGAAGGGTGATGCTCTCCATGGGGAGTCTTCAAAGTCTGTCATATCATTTGGAGCAGGACCCAGGCTCTCCCCCATGTGTCTAGGCTGAGACAGTATCCCTCTGTGTGGGATAGGCTCTCACAGTCCATTCGTATACTAGGGATGAATACTGATCCACTACCAGAGGCCCCATAGACTGCCCAGTCCTCCTAACTGACACCCACTTTCAGAGTGTCTGGGTCAGTCCTATGCTGGATTCCTACCTATCAGACTGGAGTCCATGAGCTCCCCCTTGTTCAGGTCAGCTGATTCTGTGGGTTTCTCCAGCTTGGTCTTGACCCCTTTGCTCATCACTCCTCCCTGTCTGCAACTGGATTCCAAGAGTTCCTGTAACGCACTTTTTAATTGGATTATTTGGTGTTTTGGTGACTAGCTTCTTGAGTTCTTTGTATATTTTGGAGATCAGCCCTCTGTCAGATGTGGGGTTAGTAAAGATCTTTTCCCAGTCTGTGGGCTGCCGTTTTGTCTTGTTGATTGTGTCCTTTGCCTTACAGGACTTTTTCAATTTCAGGAGGTCCCATTTATTAATTTTGATCTCAGTGTCTGTGCTACTGGTGTTTTGTTCAGGAAGTGGTCTCCTGTACCAGTTCATTCAAGGGTACCTCCCACTTTCTCTTCTAAGAGGTGCAGTGTGGCTAGGTTTATGTTGAGGTCTTTGATCCATTTGGACTTAAGTTTTGTGCATGGCAATAGACATGGCTTTATCTGCAGTCTTCTACACACCATCATCCAGTTGTGCCAGCACTATTTGTTTATCAGCATCAGGTGTTGATAAGTGTGTGGATTAATATCAGGGTTTTCAGTTTTATTCCATTGGTCCACCTGTCTACTTTTGTGCCAATACCAAGCTGTTTTCAGGACTATAGCTTTATAATAGAGTTTGAAGTAAGGGATGGTGATGCCTCTGGAAGTTCCTTTATTGTATGGGGTTGTTTTGGCTATCCTGGGTCTTTTGTTTTTCCATATAAAGTGGAGTATTACTCTTTCAAGGTCCATGAAGAATTGTGCTGGGATTTTGTTGGGGATTGCATTGAATCTGTAAGTTGCTTTTGGCAAGATGGCCATTTTTACTATGTCGATTCTACCTATCCAAGAGCATTGGGGTATCTTCTTTAATTTCTCTCTTTAAAGACTTAAAGTCATATTATATAGGTCTTTAACTTGTTTGGTTAGCATTACCCCAAGATATTTTATGTTTATGGCTATTGTAAAGGGTGATGTTTCTCTGATTTCTTTCTCAGCCCCTTTATTATCTGTGTATAGTAGGGCTAGTGAGTTTTTTTAAGTTAGTCTTGTATCCTGCCACTTTGTTCAAGGTGTATATCAGCTGTAGGAGTTCCCTGGTAGAGTTTTTTGGGTCACTTATGTAAACTATCATATCATCTACAAATGATGAAAGTTCGACTTCTTCCTTTCCAATATGTATCCCCTTGATCTCCTTTTGTTGTCTTATAGCTTTAGCTAGAACTTCAAGTACAATATTGAAGAGATATGGATAGAGATTTTAGAGGAATGGCATTGAGTTTCTCTCCATTTAGTTAGATGTTGGCTGTTAGTTTACTGTATATTGCTTTTATTATGTTTAGGTATGTTCCTGTTAACCCTGATCTCTCCAAAACCTTTATCTTGAAGGGGTGTTGTATTTTTTGTCGAAGGCTTTTTCAGCATCTAGTGACATGATCATTTTTTTTTTGTTTTTTTTTTTTTAAGTTTGTTTATGTGGTGGATTACATTGATAGGTTTTCATATGTTGAACCATCCCTCCATCCCTGCATCCCTGGGATGAAGTCTACTTGGTCATGGTGGATGATTTCTCTGATATGTTTTTTGGATTAGATTTGCCAGTATTTTATTGAGTATTTTTGCATCAATGTTTATGAGGGATATTGGTCTATAGTTCTCTTTCTTAGTTGTGTCTTTGTGTGGCTTGGATACCAAGGTAATTGTAGTCTCATAAAAAGAGTTTGGCAATGAATCTTCTGCTTCTATTGTGTGGAACAATTTGAGGAGTGTTGGTATTAGCTCTTCTTTGAATTTCTGGAAAAATTCTGCACTGAAACAATCTGGTCCTGAGCATTTTTGTTTGGTAGACTTTTGATGACTGCTTCTATTTCATTAGGGGTTATAGGTCTATTTAAATTGCTTATCTGCTCTTGATTTAATTTTAGTAAGTGATATCTGTCCAGAAAATTGTTCATTTCCATTAAATTTTCAAATTTTGTGGAGTACAGGTTTTCAAAGTATGACCTGAAGATTCTCTGGATTTCCTCAGTGTCTGTTGTTATGTCCCCTTTTTCATTTCTGATTTTGATAATTTGCATGTTCTTTCTCTGTCTTTTGGTTAGTTTGGAAAAAAGGTTTGTCTATCTTATTGCCTTTCTTGAAGAACAAACTCTTTGTTACATTGATTCTTTGTATTGTTTTCCTAGTTTCTCCCTTATTGATTTCAGCCCTCAATTTGATTATTTCCTGGCATCTACTCCTCCAGAGTGAATTTGCTTCTTTTTGTTCTAGAGCTTTCAGTTGTGCTAAGTCTCTAATGTGACTATTCTCCAGTTTCTTCATGTGGGCACTTCATGAACTTTCCTCTTAGCACTGCTTTCAAAGTGTCCCATAAGTTTGGGTACATTGTGTTTTCATTCTCATTGAATTCTAGGAAGTCTTTAATTTCTTTCTTGATCCAGGAATGGCTCATTTACACATTGTTCAATTTCCATGAGTTTGTAAGGTTTCTGCAATTTGTGTTGTTGTTGAACTCTAAAGCATGGTGGTCTAACAGGGGGTTATTCCAATTTTTTTTGTAACTATTGAGGTTTGCTATATTGCTGAGTATGTGGTCGATTTTAGAGAAGGTTCCATGTGGTGCTGAGAAGAAAGTATCTTCTTTTGTGTCTGTTAAACCCAATTGGGTCATAAATCCTGTTAATTCCTTTGTTTCTTTGTTAAGTTCCTGTCTGGTGAACCTGTATTGTGTTGAGAGTGGGGTGTTGAAATCTCCCACTCTATGTGTGTGAGGTTTTATGTACAATTTGAGTTTTAGTAACATTTCTTTTATGAATGTGGGTGCCTTTATATTTGGGGCATAAATGTTCCGAATTGAGACTTCATCTTGATGGATTTCTCCTGTGATGAGTAAGAAATGACCTCCTTCATCTCTTTTGATTGATTTTAGTTTAAGGTCTAATTTGTTAGGTATTAGGATTTCTACACCTGCTTGTTTTTTTGCATCTATTTAATTGGAAAGTCTTTTCCCTACCCTTAACTCTGAGATAAAGCCTGTCTTTGAAGTTGAGGTGTGTTTCTTGTATGTAGCAGAAGAATGGATTCTGTCTTTGTATCTATTCTGTTAGCCTGTGCCTTTTATAGGCAAATTAAGACCATTAATATTGAGGGATATTAATAACCATTGATTGTTATTCTTGTTTGTTTTGGATTTGTTGTTGGTGGTGGTATTGTACGTGGATTTCCTCCCATTTTTCTTTTGGCTGCTGGTAAAGTGGAATTATCTATTGTCTATGTTTTTGTGGGTATAGTTGACTTCCTTAGGTTGGAATTTTCCTTCCAGAACTTTCTGTAGGGCTGCATTAGTGGATATGTATTGTTTGAATCTGGTTTTGTCATGGAATATCTCAGTTTCTCCATCTATAGTAATTGAAAGCTTTTCTGGGTTTGTAGTCTAGGCTGGCATCCGTGATCTCTTTGTGTTGGTAGAAACTATCCCGAATTTTCTGGCGTCAGAATTTCTATGGAGAAGTCAGGTGTAATTCTGAGAGGTTTGCCTTTATATGGTACTTGGCCTTTTCCCTTTACTTCTCCTAATATTCTTTCTTTATTCTGTATGTTTGGTGTTTTGATTATTATGTGGTGAGGGAACTTTTTCTTGTGGTCCACTCTATTTGGTGTTCTGTAAGCTTCTTGTACTTTCATTGGCATGTCTTTCTTCAGGTTGGGAAAGTTTTCTTCTATGATTTTGTTGAATATATTTTCAGTACTTTTGAGTTGGGATTCTTCACCTTCTTCTATACCTATTATTCTTAGGTTTGGCCTTTTCATGGTGTCCCATATTGTTGGATTTAAGATTTTCTCTTGGTGTATCTTCAGTGCCTGAGATTCTCACATCCATTTCTTGTATTCTGTTGGTTATGCTTGTATCAGTAGTTCCTGATCATTTTCCCAGACTGTGTTTTTTATTGTCTCTATTTCAACTTTCAAGCCTTGCACTGTTTGAATTGTTTCTTGTGAATTATGGTTTGTCTTTTCCTCCATTTCTTAAATTTTTTGTTTGTTTGTTTTTTTCTTCCATTTCCTTAAGGGATTTTCTCATTACCTCTTTGAGGGTCTCTATCATTGTCATAAAGTTGTTTTTAGGGCCATTCTCTTCTGCTTCATCTGTGTTGTGATGTTGAGGTCTTGCTGGTGTGGAGCCCTAGACTCTGGTGGCGTTATATTGATCTTTCTGTTGTTGACTGTGTTCTTATACTGTCAATCTACCATCCCTTCTTCCAGTGTGCACTGGTAATGTCTCCCCTTTTCCTGGTGAGTGCAGGACCAAGGTTCTCTTCAGGCGGGTGAAAGCAGGTCCAATATTCCAATGTCTCTCTTCCAATGGGCAGTGGAGGGACTCCTTCCATGGGTGTAGCTGGGACCAGGACACTGGTAGACTCTGGATGAGTGGTCTCCCACATGCAGTCACCATCCTCCCACATGACTCTTCTAGTGACATCCTCTAGTGACTTGAAGAATAACTATGCCATGATCAGTTATAACCGGCTTACAGTTCCCAATCACTGGCTTTGTGTCAGGTTTGAGTGAAAGCTCAAACTACTCCCCAGTTGTACTCTTTTGGATTGGGGGTGGGGGCTTCACTATTTGTTGCTCTGATACAGTGTTTCACCTTTGTTTCCTTGTTCACATTGCAGTTGGTAAGAAGGGATTTCTGTCTTTTCCCAGGTACAGTGTAGCAGGTGTTTCTGGGGTAACGACTGAAAATGTCTCAGTGCAGCACATTATTGAAATCAATGACATCATCATCCTGACACCCCAGATTCTTGTGAACAATCTCAACAATGGAACCATCCCCTCTCTGTCTGTCTTCACGTTGATGATATTTGATGAATGCCACAACACCAGTAAACACCACCCATACAATCAGATCATGTTCCGGTACCTAGATCAGAAACTTGGAGAGTCGCCAGATCCACTGCCTCAGGTATTTCCAGCCAGATGACTTCTTGGAGGAGCCATAATCATCAGACTCCCATTTAGTTACTATTGTAGCCACATAACCATCTGAGGAGATTACCCTTCTCAGATTCTAGGTTACAAGTCATTGTTTAGTTTTGGTTCATTCATTTGACAAATAGTTGTCCTTGGTATCCAGGGTGGACACCCTTCACAGAAACCAAAATCTAGGCTGCTTCAATCTCTTGTATGAGATGACATTGCATTTATATATAATCTACACACCTCCTACATATTTTAAATCATCTCTGGATTACTAATATTGTACAGTATAATGCAAATTTTATAGAAAAGTTCTTATACTGTATTGCTTAGGGAATAAAGGTGGGAAAATTTATACACATTCAGAATTTATTATATTAAAAATAGTTTTGATCCATAGTTGTATGAATTCACAGATCTGTAACATCTGGATTTGAAGGCCAACTATATGAATCATGGATTTCCATGTACCTTGTGTACTATTATAGGCCCCTGGGGACACTGGTCTAGAAGAAATAATGCTGACTCTCATACAGTTTAGTTTTCATAGGGAGCTGGGCACATAATAGTTATGTCACAGCTTATCATGAGGTTTGCTGCAGAGATGGGTGAAGTGTGAAGGCTGAACATAAGTAAAAGTAAGGCAAGACCTATAGAGAAGAGGGGAACTAACAGGCGTTTTCTGGGTAGATGGCTTCATGATTTTCAGGAAGAGGGTGCTGTGTGTCCAGAGGCACTGAGGGATGAAAGAGCCTGGCATGCTCCAGAACCCTTCACTATCACTTGAGTGTAGAGTGTGAGGTAAGGAACAGCCTCAGATGAGGCAGAATGGGAAAGGGGGACAACTTGTAAAGCTGTTAGCTATGACCGATGCCTGCAGAGACATCTGGAGGGTAGAGTGTCAGTGGGCAAGTCTGTGGCTTGGCACAGGAAATGAGTTGCATGAGAAGAGTCACTCCAGAGGGTCCTTCTTAAATGGGACAGGAAGGAAGGGAATCTTGTGTATAAATTCTTTTTTCTCTTGATCGTAGGAGAGGCAGGTGCTTTGCTGAAAATTGTCAATATAAAAATGGGAGAGGGTGAAGAAGATCGTAGCAGTGGATGAGAACTGAGATGGATACAATAACGATTGATGGTGTTATATGAGGGGTTCAAAGGGGGCTGTAAAGCATCAATTGCATCCAATTCTTTAGCTCCAAGAATTACTCATTTCGGAAGTACAGGTTAAAGGACATCTAGTGTAGTGCCCGCAGCTTGTTCTTTTCAAGTCGTGTTGATGGCAAACAGATTTCTTACTGTGAGTTAATCATTCACTAACTATCCAGCTATTACCGAAGGAAGTTATCTCACTGAATCTACATGGCTCTCATTTTAAATAGCCATTTCCCCTTCACTGATTGTTGAAGGTACCTGTCAAAGCTCACAAAAAGAATGGGACATGGATGGGATTGAAATGGACATGCCATTCCTTTCCATTCCCATCATGATGTTTTCCTCCTTAGTAGGAGACAGGGGGATAAAGGAAAGAGTAGCGCCCTCCCCCTCCCCGGACAAGGTTTCCTCTCCATTCATACTCTGGTTAGTGTTTGGATGAGAGGATTTATTTAGAGCTTCACTTTGGGAGTCTTTCTGCTCATGACATCCCGGAGAACATCTGAGAGCCAGTGTTGGGGATGCTCGTTACAGGTCATTGGGCTGACTGCCTCAGTTGGTGTTGGAGATGCCAAAACCGTAGATGAAGCCATGCTGCACATCTGCAAACTGTGCGCCGCCCTGGATGTGTCAGTGATAGCCACGGTCAAGGACAACGTGGAAGAACTGGAACAGGTTGTTTATAAGCCCCAGAAAAGTAAGTGGGGTTCAGCAACACACCCCTGGGGAGTTTGCAACTCCCTGCTCCTCCCACTTCAGAAACAGTGGATGGACCCCGATGCTGTGTTTGTTTGGTAAAAACATTTTAAAACTCCACACTTCACAAATAGTCACATTTCTTCTTTCTAATTGACCTCTTCTCCTGAGTGAAGCATGAGTCTCAAAAGTAGCCTGAAACGAACAAACATCCTTGCTCTTTGTCTCTAAAACCTTTACACAAGCACCAGCAAGAGGAGGGAGACCATTTAAGCGCGTTGATAGCCAGCGGGCTAGGTGGGGGCTCTGGGCTCCATGCCCTGGGCAGGTACCGTGGGATCATCTTGTTCCTGTATGTATCTGAAAATTGTAGTTGGAACAATCTGAATCATAATAGCTATCACTGAAAGACCAGAACAAGTTTTTAAAATGAGATTCCCCAGCAGATTATTAACGATTAACTAGCCTTGTAAGCAGAGAGGCACAGCAGTTACAGGCAGGTTCATCCTGGCCTGAGCCCTGAGTCGGTGACCCAGTGGGTGCAGTGGAAAAGGAGGGCCCAGCCCTGTTCATTCCTGAGAGTCCCTCATGGAGAGCATGAAGGGCAACACTATGTTGCTTTCTATGACTCAGCAGACACTCCAGTGCTATTCTGAGCTTGTGTCCAGCTTTGTGCACAACTGTTCCTGTTCCCGCCTTTCTCCTTCCCGTGCTTATCTTACTGCAGCCTCCCCAGAGGGACTGCTTTCCTTCCTTCCCCTTGCTCCCTGACGCCTTGCCTGCACCTGCATCACAGGACTCTGATGGTGAATTTAGGAGCACACCTTTCTTTCCTCCAAGAATCAGCCTCCTGTGCAGCATCGGGGACATTCTTGTCAACTCTATCGCCAGAGTATGGCATGTGGCAGGCAGTTCTTTTTTCTGCCAAAAGTGCACAAATGCGAATAGTAAGACCAATGGAAACACACTTGGGGGCTAGATGTGTGGAGAAGGAGAAAGGGAGAGAAGGGAAATGGGGCTGGATGTGGCATTTACCAAAACCAGAGAGAGGGCTGCCAGACCTGTCAGAGTAGAGGTACCAGGATAGCTATCCAGAGGCTGGATTATTTCTAGACCAGGAGAGACATTAGACTCAAGGCAGGAAGCTGCTTCAAGGCTTTTGAGCATTTGCTATGTTTTGGAGCCTGCCTGTGGCTTTTCAGAGGCTGTAACTAGGGCAGAGAAGGGGTTTGGAAATGTCAGCTTTTGACCTGTGCTTCCTTCAAACTACTCCTGTTCCTTTGACCCCAGTTTTCAGGAAAGTGGAATCACGCACTACAAACACGTTTAAGTCCATCATATCTCAGCTGATGAGGGAGACAGAGAAACTGGCAAAGAATGTCTCAGAGGAACTTGGTAAGTCTGTGCTAAATCATGGTGAGATAAATCTCATTTTTTTGTGCCCTTTCCAATTGGGGATAGTCATATATTGTTCATTAGCATCTTTTCGGTTCAATGGTGAGATTATATCCAGATGTGGACTGACTTATTCTTATTCACATGTTTCTCCCCTCTCTCTATATCTTCTTTATCTTTTCATCCTTTTTCCACCTTTTTTCTTTTTTCTAGTCCCTTTTAAGAAAGATTGATTTTTATTTCCGTGTGTAGGTGTTTTTGTCTGCATGTATCTAAGTGCATCACATATGTGAAGAGGGTGTAAGTTACCTTGGAACTAGAGTCACAGACAGCTGTGAGCTGCACATCCTCTGGGAATTGAACCCACATTCTCTGGAAGATTAGCTGCTGGTTCTCTGAAGCACTGAGCTGTCTCTCTAGCTCCCATTTCTGAAATAAGGTCTCTTTTTGTATCCCTGGTTGGCCTGAAACTTGCTATATGACTAGGCTGGCTTTGAACTTGCAAAGTCTTCTTGCTTCAGCCTTCTGAGTCCTGGGATTGCTAGCATGAACCACCATACCTGGCTTATATGTAAACTTTCTTAAATTCTGGTTATTTTAGGTACCTTATAAGCATTTTTTCATTCTCTTTTGCTTTATTTTCTTTTTTAAATCTGGACATACATACCTGAAAAATAGTGTCTTTAAATCATCTTCTAAATTTACTTTCTTTTTTCTTTTGAGACAGAATCTTTGTGTACAGTGCAGGCTAACCGTGAGTTGGGAACTTCCTGCTCCTCCTCCCAAGATGTGTGTCACCACTGGGATTCGATTAGATCTGCACTGATCCCATCCGAAAGCAATGTCCCCAATTACCTAACATTCTCTCACTGTCCTCAGCTCTTAAGCTCATCATTCTGGGGACTAGCCTTTTGCCATATGAGCATCCAGAAGACACTTAAACAGTATCAGAGGGCAGCACTGGGAGAAGAGTTTAGACAATCAATCTACTAAAGGCCATAAAGTACAGGGTAGCATGCTCTTTCCTCTACAGTTTTGGAAACTTGTCTGTAGCTGTAGCTACTTAGTAGGGAATAGGCTGGAGAAAAAAAGGCAGATGGTAAAAACACCAGTTAGAAGGTACATGGGTCACTCAGGAACAGGATGACATGGTCTGACTAAAGTAATGAATGGACAGACAGGGATGGAATTGTATGGCTTTTACTTTATTATTCCACTCACTGTAGCTAACATCCACACTTCCTCCTGTCCAAATCCTGTCAATAACTCATTTTCTAGTATTGTAGAATACTGTCCCACCTCCTCACATCGAGTAACTGTTGATAGCCACTTCATTTGTTCAGGAACTGGGAGAGTATCTCATTGTGAACTGGGTGTGGTGGCACCATCTGTAAGGTTATGAGTCTGTGGCCTGCCTGGGCTACATGCTGGGATCCTGTCTGTGGGATGGAAGCAGGGAAAAAGCTCGCCATGATTACCTGTTGGGTCCCAGTTCTTTGTTTTATTATTTAAGAATGGGTGAGGGGAGGCAATTACCTCATAAATGCATTTCTGGTCTTTGGATTTTGCTCTACTGTGCTTGTCTCAAGAAGTTCAGGAAACTAAACTAATAGACCAAACCACTGTGGCCGTTTCCACTTCGTCCTCTTCCTATGCTGTCATACACTCAGAGTCTGGATCACCGTGGACCCTACGTGTTTGAATCAAGCAGCTAGAGTTAGCTCCAGGTGTGCACAGATGCATCTAGAACAAGCATCTCTGTGCTCTGCTGAGTGGTTGTGTTGAGTACTGCTCTGAGGTGAGGTGTCAGACCTCATAGGAAAGTAGGAAGGCTGTGTTGGGTACCGGTGCTCCCATTTTTATATACCTTTCTCTGATGAAGCTCTTGAGACTTATTATTCTAATGGTATCTTTGTTTTTAAAGGCCAAGTTGTGTTCTTTTTTTTTTTTTTTATTTCTGAATTACTTTGGCTGTTAGCCCCTTAAGCTTGTAGAGCTCAGACATGGCATAGCTGGGTTTGAATTCTTGCCACACCCAACACAGTATGAGCCGCGTGACTTTGGATAAATTACTTAGTTTTCCTTTTGTAAAGGATTTGTTTTAAAAATTATGTGTATGTACATATGACTGTGTGGATTGAGTGCTGTTGCTCCCAGGGCCAGAAGAGGGCGTTGGATATACAGGAGCTGAATATACAGGTGGTTGGAAGCCACCCAACCTGGGTGCTGAGAACTGAACTTGGGTCCTCTACAAGAGCCTAACTGCTGAGCTGTCTCCCCAACACCTTGCTCAGTCCTTCCAAACCTGTCTCCTCTTTTTAAAATGAAATATTGGCCTCCTGAAATTAGAAAAAAATTAAATGCAATTATGAATGTAAAGCATTTTGATTTTAGGTGATTTAGTAAATAATCATTTACTTACACACACACAGCTGAAAACTCAGTCTACTCCAGGATAAATATCCTACTTATAATGAATAAGAAAGAAAATTAGAACATGAGGCATGTTAGAACCAGTGCTTGCAAACCATGTATGTATTTATGTGTTTATTTATTTATTTGTTTTACCGTCTAGGAAACTTATTTCAAATTCAAAATAGAGAGTTCGGCACCCAGAAATATGAGCAGTGGATTGTCGCGGTCCACAAAGCGTGCATGGTGTTTCAGATGCCGGACAAGGAGGAGGAGAGCAGGATTTGCAGAGTGCTCTTTCTATACACTTCACACTTGCGGGTGGGTATATTGCTGCTCCACATGGCATGCTTTGGTCATTGCATCTCCTGGGATCTGCACTGTGGCAGCTGAGAGATCATTAGCTTCTCATCCTAGCCCAGAGCTTAAGAACTTTCCAGAAAGTCATCACCAACCTCGTTTGTTTTCTGAAACTTCACAGCAAGTCTACAAGACTGGAACAGATGCCCAGAGTCTATGTCAAGCCTGCAGCTTTGCCTTACTGATGTGGTTTGGGAAAATTTGGTGATGACGAAACACATGATTGGGAACCATCCCTAACTTCAAGATGTGGCTCCTGTTGCCACCTCCTGAAGCCTGTGTGGTCTTACTTTGTTAAAGCCACATACTTAGATCCCTGGGGGCAATGGTTAACACAGAGGAATGGAATAGCTGTAACAACCATCCCTCTGTTGTTATGCTGTGGGAAATATTTAAAGGCTTGTTCCATAGCATGAGTTTGTGGAATTTTAATGCTCAATGGACTTTTGACATAGGTGATAAGGGCCATTGTTCTGAAAGGTCCATGAATGCTTTAGGTATGTTTTGGAATCTAAGGGGAATGTCAGCACTATGATGCAGTATGATGTCAAAGCTGACTTGCTTTTACCATTGTTTCTTATGATACACTGATTTCCTTCTTTCCCAAGGTGCAATTTTACAATACAAAGCGAATCCACTTAACGAATATTTCTCGCTGAAACAAAAAGGAAAGCAGCTTTTGGTTCAGATTTTTTTTTTTCTTTTTCTTTTTTTTTTTTTAGTAGACCACTGAGGGCATTTGCCTCTAAAATCTCAGCTGTGCAATTTGAGAAAGCTTTTCTTGAAACTGATTTTAGGCTAAGTTTAGCCAGTTGAACTTCAGTGTAGTGAATGTGGGAACTTGGAAATATGTTGACACTCACCTTTCATTTGAAACAGAAATACAATGATGCTCTCATCATCAGTGAGGATGCACAGATGAAAGATGCTCTTAATTACCTCAAAGCCTTCTTCCGCAATGTCCGAGAAGCAGCATTTGATGAGACTGAGAAAGGTCTTACTCGGAACTTTGAAGGTGAGGGTGACTTGGAAGTCACTGGAGTTTGGTGGCGTTCACGTCATTTGGGGTATATCCATTCGCTGATGCTTTTGTGCTGAGTTTAAGATGAGACATTATAGGGGCTGTGATGGAACATGACCTTAGCATGGCTGAACCCCCAACATTACAAACAAATCAAAGCAAAAGCTTTAAAGTCAACCAACCAACCAACCAAACAAACACAGGAGGGGTTGGCTTCAGAAAAACCTAATAGGTGCGTACACATCTATCTGTTTGTAGCTTTTCCACTTTTCATTTGGGAAGAGGGAAAACAGTGGGATTTGAAAAACTGCTTCCTACAATTAAAACTAATGGTATTCTGTTTAACTCAGTCATTTAAAAAGATTTAATAATGCCAGCATGTGTTTAATGATGTTAAGAAGACTGTGTTTTATGTATGCTTCCTTTTTTTGTTTTTCAAGACAAGGCAGAGTTTCTCTGTGTGGTCCAGACTATCCTGGAACTCATTCCATAGACCACTCTGACCTTGAACTCACAGAGATCTGCCTGCCTCTGCCTCCAAAGTGCTGGGATTAAAGGAGTGAGCCACCACTGCCTGGCTTACGTATATTCTAATAATGAGAAAAATGCCCCTCCTGCCCTTACATTATACTCCAAACATGGGAAGTAGTAAATGGAAGAACATGTTTTCTTTCTCCTTTCCAAGAAGCAATTACTACTAGTAACTTTGTTTGTTTGTTTGTTTTTTGTTTTTTTTTTTTTTTTTTTTTTTTTGAGACAGGGTTTCTCTGTAGTTTTGGAGCCAGTTCTGGAAGTAGCTCTTGTAGACTAGGCTGGTCTCGAACTCACAGAGATCCACCTGCCTCTGCCTTCCGAGTGCTGGGATTAAAAGTGTGCACCACCACCGCCAAAAGCTTACTAATAACTTTTTTGTCTATACCAAATTATTTACTATACATATGTACAGCCAGTGATGCTGTGTTGATAAACATACAGTTATGTATGCACAAATTGCATTTATGTATTATAAATTTTACTGATATGGGGGCTAATGTAGCACCCCACTCACAAATAAAGAACATGGAATTTTTCACTATAAATTATTTTTAGCTATTTGTGGCCCACAGAATGCTTTTGGTGGTCTTGGCAGGACCCTTGAATCCATAGCCAACTACAGATTGCAATTACCAAATAAATGTAGTTCTGATGTGGATGCCAGGTCAATTTTATATTAATGCTAGGAGTAAGAACAAAATGAAACAACAGAAACATGTTGGAACTTCGCTGATTATTATTTTTTTTTTAAGTAAAATGAGAACTTTTTTCTTTCTTTTCTTTTTTTTTTTTTTGAGACAGGGTTTCTCTTTGTAGCAGCTCTAGCTGTCCTGGAACTTTTTCTCTGAACTAGGAAATAGTTTACAAACACTTGGAGAACATTTCTTCATTTTTAATTGGTTCATAATTAACAGCTCAATTTAATTGGCATTATGTACTTAGCATTTTACAAAGTCTAGACTGCCAACAAAGGATGAAGTAAGCGATTTCTTCATTTCCATGTATAACTGTTTCTACTATAATCAATTTCCAACCACCAATATTTTATTGAACTTGTACAAAACTGAGCACAGACTGACATTTCTGCCATACATACATTATAGATATCTACATCTATGCATATACAACAACTCAAGAGCATAACTTACAGTAAAATGGAATAAAATGAATTAGGAAATTAATGAGCCTGGCTATGTGTTATATGCTTTTAGTATAAGTCATCCAGCTGCAAGGATAAAGAATAGAATTTTTAAGGTTATATTTAAATCAGGTCTCATCCCACAAGTCTCAAGAATTTAACAATTGACTATCATAATGTGGTTTGATCTGGCCTAGCACACTGCACATTCTTTTTTTTTTTTTAAAGATAAGGTGTCCTGTGGTTCAGTTTTTAACTTAAAGTATCTTTTTGAAAGCACACCTTTAGTCCCAGCACTCAGGAGGCAGAGAAAGGGGGATTTCTGTGAGTTCGAGGCCAGCCTTGTCTACAGAGCCCAGGACAGCTATGGCTACCTAAAAAACTCTGTCTCAAGAAACAAACAAAACAAACAAACAAACAAATGTATCTTTTTGATCTTTCCATATTAGGGTGTATATAACTCTTTAATTTTAATAGCAACATTGTATTTCCATCATCTGGGTACCCTGAGTAGTTACTGGTAGTTACTCAGTGTTTGGGTTGTTTTCTGTATTTCTTTCATAGTCTCAACATCTCAGTGACAGTCCTCAGAATCTTCTCCACAGTTTTCAGATTCCTAGCTGTAGATTACTTCATCAAAGAATTTGAATTTGCAAGCATTATATTGCTAAACTGCTTTTCTTAAAGGGTACACTAGTTGATATTAGTGTTCATGCCTCAGATTTTTGGCGTGAGGCTGACTGTTTGAAATAGATGACCACAGTTCTAAAACTTTAACATTCATAAGCCTTTTACAAATGCTCCCCATTTTCAGAAAAGTTGGAGGAACTAGAAAAAGTTTCTATGGATCCCAGCAATGAGAACCCTAAACTCAGAGACCTCTACTTGATCTTACAAGAGGAGTACCACTTAAAGCCGGAGACCAAAACCATTCTCTTCGTGAAAACCAGAGCACTTGTGGATGTAAGCTGTGTGAGTGTGTATGTGTATGTGTGCACATGCTCTTGTGTGTGTTTCTCTCTGTGTGTGTGAGCAAGCATGTGTGTGTGTATGTGGTCTGTGTCTGAGTGTCTGCATGTGTGTGCCTGTGCCCATGTGCATGCACAACAAATTGGCTCTACTTTATTGAAAAGGTTGCCCTTTCTTCACTTCCCTGTAACCAAGTGTCCATTTATACATGGGTCTGTGCTGATTGTCTATCCTTACATCAATACCTTATCATTTGAATTACCCACAGTTATAAGTTTTGGCACTATAGAGAAAACACTCCCCCTTTATAAAACTGTTCATTAAGACTTTCACTTTCGGCCATTCTATAGGTATTGATTTACATGTCATTAGTAACTAATATGCTTGGACATCTTGGATGTTTAGAAGTTTGTCTTAAGCATCTTTAAAAAGTTCATTTAGTGAGATTAAAAGACCTATCTCAAAGTTGAGCTTTGGGGCTGGAGCTACAGCTCAGTGGTTCAGCACTAGCCTAGCATGCATGAGTAGTTTAATCCCCAGTTCTGGAAGAAAATAGAATACCATCTTATTGTTAAGTTTTTAAGATTCTTTTTGTAGGATGACCAAGAAAAGTCCTCTCTGAGACAGGGGATATGAACTGTTTTGTGCTGGCCTACAGTCTGATTTTTAGTTATGTCTTCGGTTTTTATATTCTATCTATCATCTATGTATGTATCTAGTTATCTATATAATATTTAGTATTGAATTAATGCAATGTTTAATGTTTATAAGTAGTGTTTAAAGTGGTCATTGCTTCTCACTTTTAGGCTTTAAAGAAATGGATTGAAGAAAATCCTGCCTTGAGCTTTCTAAAGCCTGGCATATTGACTGGACGTGGCAAAACAAACCAGGCAACAGGTATTTATATATAGGGAACTAGATTTAGTATAGTATGTATATAAAGTGTATACTATGTTTCATTATTTTGTGCTTATATCAGTCAGAGTTCAATCAGAGAGATAAAGCTACTAGTAGATTACACATGAGTATATGGTATGAATGTGAATTTATGTCTGTATCCAGCCAGTACTTAGAGAGTTCCTGAAAACGAACACAAAATAAGGCTGGCAATAAAACCTGAAGCCTGCAGTGTATTTAGTTAGGAGATGGAAACCAAGAGCAGCTTGGAACTCTCAGCATATGAACCGTTTAAGTCTCTGAGGTCAGGGAAGACCTAAGCCCTTGTTCAAAAGGTCATGAGAATAGGTCAGGCCCAGCCCACTTAGATGAACTCACTCCTGGTTTAACTCAGTGTCAACTGATCTTAACTGTCTACAGGCTCCCTCTAGAGCAGCAGCCACAAGAATGGCTGCAACCATAGCTCTGCCTGACACTTCCCAAATGCCAAAAGCCACACTAGTCTAGTTCCATGCAGGAAATTGCCTTCTCTTATGTCCCCCACACAAAGCTATTTCAGCATTCTTTTAGCTGATCCCTCTCTTCAAATTCTGGAAATAAAAACATACTGTGTTTCTTGTATCTTTATTCTTTACACAATAGATTTTTATCTACTGACTGCATATTTTATAGTTTAAAAACAGTCTGGGAAATTCTGAACTCTGTTTAGTTTGTGTGGTCACAGGGTGGGAAGTCATCGTCACCTGGAAGAATCTGGTGCTGCTAGTATCATAGCTTTGGCCCGAATCCCAGAATATTTCACAATGCATGACATATCCTCACTGGGTTCTTCCTGCCATCGTTTAGACTAAACAGGTCTCGACCCTGCTGTCTTGGTCCTCACTCATTGCTCTGGTACTTTTCCCACATGGGATTTACAGGTCACATAGACATAGAATGGGTTCAAGTTTTGAAAGTGTGGTTTCAAGTCTAATGCTTCCCTCCTGTGACTGGATTTCAATGTTCTTTGTCATCTCTCCAACATCAATCCGACTTGATTTTCAAATTTGTCATTGACATGCAAATAGATACTTAGATAATATTTTCTTATCTGTTCATCCATGCATGTGTGGATCCTCCCTCCCTCCCTCTCTCTCTCCTTTCCATCGATGCATCATCCATCCATCCATCTTTCCATCATGTATTTAGACCATACTCAGTGCCCTGCTTCTACCAAGTAGCCACCCTTGTCCTGTAACACCTGAGCCAAACTCCCTCTATATTCCCATCTTCAGTTCTTATAGATAAAAATGTAATCTTTAGTCATCATAGTCTTATCTGACACACCATAGTCCATAATTGCTGCCTGAGTGTTAGATGAATGAATATGTGGGCTAAGATGATGTTGACTATTTTTGTTTTCTGGATGGTTCCTTCTTTTTTCATTGCTAACCAAGGGAGGGTGGGCAAGTGAACTTTTATAAAAAGCTACAGGTTGTTTGATATCTGAACATTTTCTAATTTCCTTATCTGTACACTTTTATTTCATGGGTTGTGAAACATGTTATAATGTCTGTGCTTTACTTTCTTCATCTGTCAAATAGAAAAATAATAATTATACCCAACTCATAGGGTTAATGGGAACAGTGAAATCTGAGTTAGGTGAAATCTGATGTATTGTGTGCTTCTTTGTTTCGTGCAGTAAAAATAACTTTTCCACTTTTACTCTGAGCCTAGACACACAGGGGAGGGCCTAGGCCCTGCCCCAAATGATGCAACAGACTTTAATGGTTCCCCCATGGAAGGCCTCACCCTTTCTATGGAGCAGAAGAGGGATGGGATGGGGGTTGGTGGGGGGCATGGGAGGATGGGAGGGTGAGGGAACTGAGATTGATATATAAAATAAGATTGTTTCTAATTTAAATTTAAAAATGCCAAAAAAAGAACTTTTCCACTTTTAAATGGTTCCCAATTAGTAGCTGATTTTCCAAGAGCATAACTCTTTCATGAGTAAGTTGTCCAGTGACCTCTTCACCCAACACAGGAATGACACTCCCAGCACAGAAGTATGCCCTGGAAGCATTCAGAGCCAGTGGGGATAACAACATTCTCATTGCTACCTCGGTTGCTGATGAAGGCATTGACATTGCTCAGTGCAACTTGGTCATCCTGTATGAGTATGTGGGCAATGTCATCAAAATGATCCAAACTAGAGGTGAGAGGAGCTGACGCCATTCCTGCCTGGCTCCCATTTTGTCTGGCTTGTGGGTGTTTGTCCTTTCTTCTTTACTGAGCTATATTATGTGACTGTTGGCACACTCGACTCTGGTACTGTTTATTAGTCTAAAAGCTGATGTCCCTGGTCAGGATTTGGAGGTTGTGGTTTTTGCCATAACACTTCACTGTGACTCTTCACAATGGTACTGCTTAATGCCCAGGATTCACTGGCATATTTATGAGGGTATAATATCCACTAGGCCTAAGGCTTTGCCAGTCGGCGAGTAGTGAGTAGCTCCTGTATTCCAGGTTCCTTCAGTCTCACATGGTCCAGAGTCTAACCCTCCTTTCCCTGTTTCCCCAAGAACAGGTCCCACTTTACCCTTCTTGAATAATGTCTCTCCGTCATTCATCATTCCCATCTATGTTTCATTCTTCTCTGTTTATTGCTTGTCAAATTTCTCACAGGCTGTGGCTTTGCATTTTATGTCCTTTTCTGTCTTCATTGCACATAACCCAGATGATCTCTCTTTCAAATGTCCATGCCCCTTAATATCTGTCTCTGCGAGAGCATCGACAATTTCTCACCTGTGTTCCAAGAGTTTTTCCAGACAGGGTTTCTCTGTATTGCTTTGGAGACTGTCCTGGAACTCCCTCTGTAGATCTGCCTGCCTCTGCCTCCCGAGTGCTGGGATTAAAGGTGTGCGCCACCAATGTAGGGCATAAGCCTCTCTCCACATTGCAAGAAGGTTCAGGTAGGAGTTTCTCATGGGAGCTTTTACTGGGGGCTCATGCTGGACCATCTATGATTCAGTGTTTCTGATAATGTGGCTGTGAATCACATTGCCTCTCTGGAGGCCCTAAGAAAACGAGCTGCAGGTGGCTCCCGGTTTATCTGTACGTTTGCCATGCAGGCTGAAACCTGCATTTGAGTCCAATCCGAAGTTCTGCTTTCTTGGAAAGCAGGAGGCAGTGAGACAGAGTCAAATTCTAGGGATACGCCTCATCTTTTTTTGCATGTATTTTTGTATATCATTAGAGTTTTACATCAAAAGTACAAATAAAATGTTTTCTGGCAGGCAGAGGAAGAGCAAGAGATAGCAAGTGCTTCTTGCTGACCAGCAATGCTGATGTAATTGAAAAAGAGAAGGCAAACATGTTCAAGGAAAAAATAATGCATGAATCCATTTCAGGACTTCAGGCATGGGATGAAATGAAATTTGAAAAAATGGTAAGTCTTTTTACTTTTAGTGTGTGTGTGTGTGCTATACTCTTTTGGAATTTGACTGGAAATAACAAATGAACATGGTTGGTGCCAAGTGTATGTGGTTTGTGAGTACGTGTGTGTGTGTGTGTGTGTGTGTGTGTGTGGTTTGGGTTGTATGGTGTGAGTGTGCATGTGTGTGGTGTGTGTGTGTGCATGTGTGGCTTGGGTTGTATGGTGTGAGTGTGCATGTGTGTGTGTGTGTGTGTGTGTGTGTGTGTGTGTGTGTGTGTGTGTGTTTAAGAGGGTCCCAAGTCTAGGCTTGCTTTGAACTTAACTTGCTATGGAGCTGAGGGTGATCTTAAACTTCACATCCTCCTGTCTCTACCTCTCAAGTGTTGGAATTAGAGATAAAAATGGAGTAATGGAATTCATGAGGCATGAAATGGAGGGCATATAGGAAGGGAAGTAGATCAGCTAGAGTTGAGGAGGAACTCAGCGTGGGGAGGGACAATAAGAACTGAATGGCTTATAGACCTGTGCGAAAATGCCATTAGGAGAAAAACAAAAAGATACTGTGGTTCTTGGGGTGAGAACTGGGGCTAGATTTGAACTTGAAGATTGGTTTGAGTCAGTTTGCTAGGAGGTTGCATGGAGTATGGTTCAGCATCATTAGAGTACGGTGCCCTGGAGAATTCTCTGATTACCGTGTGGTAGCTTAACATGTACAGTCCTGGGGAAGCCAAGAACTCATGTCCACGATGGGAACTTCAGGCCACGAAGGTAATTCAGGTAATTCATGATGGTGAAGATTACTGGGCTATTCTGGTTATAACCACCATAAAGAGTAATCTGAAATCTAAACGAAGAAGCCTGTGTTCCCTTCCTCAAGGGGCCAAGATAGGACACCAATGTCCCTTCTGAAGGAAGGACTTCCAGCTTGCTGTCCAGGCTGTCAGGGCTTCACTTTGCTTTCTCCACCTGTGGGGATGGGGGTGGGGGTGGGGGTGGGAATAGGCATAGAGGATGGCTCATGTTAACCCCACCAGGTGAAAATAAGACCACTACTACAAGTTTTGGGCCAAATTTGAAGCAAGCTTTATTTAATACTGGCTAGGGTGATGGACACTGGCCAGGTCCGTACCTAGGATTTCCAGTGAACTGCTACAAATTACATAAGAAGCTTATATAGGCAAAGTCCACAAGGCTACATACTTCCTGCCTTTGTCCAGTTAGGGGCAGGCATACACCCTGATATAGTACCTCCCTGTGTGTGATCAAGCACATCCTGTGTCTTTGGGGCAACCAAGCTTGGTTCTGGAGGTGAAAACACATGGCTGGTTATCTAATATGAACAACAGCTCCCAGCATTTGAGGAAGTTATCTGTCCTTGGGCAGGTGGGGCTTACTGGTTAGAGGCATTTCTGTTTTATAGATCTCTTAAGCACAGACATTTAAATTTAAAATACATCTTTAGCTGTCATGATCAGTGGATGAGGGTGCTCGCCACCAAGCTTGATGGCCTGTGTGTGGAGTTGTTTCTCTTCAGCCACCTGTGTGGGGTTAGGTGGGGCAGTGTCTTAGTGGCATCTCCACCAGCTGCTGCTTTGCCTTAAAGTTTTAACTATAGGGGTAACAGCTTTAACTCATTAGCATTTAGATCAATTATCAACAGTACATTTAAGAAGCTTGAGATGACTAGTATTTAATTGAACTTTAGTATATAATTTAAAAGAGCCTTTACATTTAACTGAATGAAAGACAATTGGATATCTAAGGGAAAGCTTATATATTTATTCTTTGCTGTCACAGTCCCCCAATCCCAGCCTAACAGAGATATCGAATAGATCTGAAGCTCTTAATCTTTTATTTTATTTTTTATATGTATGGGTGTTTTGCCTACGTGCATTTCTATCACCCCTGTTCTTGCCTCATGCTCTGAGAAGCAAGAAGAGTGTGTCAGATCCCCTGGGAATGGAGCTTTGATGTAGGTTCTGGGAATCAAACCTGGGAAGAACATCTAGTGCTCTTAATCAGTGAGTCATCTCTCCATTCACCTTGATCTGTATCTTAAAAAAGGAAGTTAAAATCTGGGCACGGTGGCACATGCCTTTAATTCCACAACCTGGGAGGCAGAGGCAGACGGATCTCTGTGAGTCTAAGACCAGTCTATAGAAGGAGTTCCAGGACATCCAGGGCTGTTACACAGAGAAACCGTTTAGAAAAACCCAACCCAACCCAACCCAAAAACTCATAAAGGAATGTGTAAATCATGTAACCTTAAATTTTCTTCTAGAAATTTATCCAAAGTTACTTATAAAGAGTTAAGTACATGTCATAAATGGTTTCATAGTAGTGAAAACTTATTTTGTTTTTTTTTAAACAGAAATATAACCCCTATATAGTAATTTGAATGTAATTGGCCCCCATAAGTTCATAGAAAATGACACTATTAGGAGGTGTGGCTTTGTTGATGTAGTTATAGCCTTGTTGGAGGAAGTGTGTCATTGTTGGAGTGGGCTTTGATGTTTCCTATGTTCAAGATAATGCCCAGTGTGATAGCATGAAGGTTGCAGGCTTGGAATTGGGAATATCATACATTGATTATTTTTTAGCTTATTCATTGTAGGTGTGAGGGTGGCTAATTCTTAGTTTTCTTTCTTCTGAGAATGCCTTGTTTTCCCCTTCATTTTGGGGATGTGGATTTGATGGGCAAGAGTGACAATTCTTTTAGCATTTGAGAAACAATTATGCCACTTTCTTCAGGCTTGTGTGGCTTCTGAGGACTGCCCACTGTCAACTAGACTATTTTTTCATGTGTAGAGATAGTGTTCTTTTTTTTTTTCCTGGTGATGCTGAGATTTCATGTTTCCAAAAGCATAACTGTATGTACCTTGGAGTAAACGTCTTTGCTTTATCCTGTTTGGGGCTTGTTTGGCTCTGTGAATCTGAGATCTTACTGCTCTTCACATTTCAGAATTGTTTCACCATGATTTCTATGATTTCCAAATCCTGCTTCTTTGTTTCTGGACTCTAATGACATAGATTTTAGATGTAAAAAAATCTTCAGTAGCCACATGTGTTCCAAAGAGTCTGTTTTCTTTCTTTCTTTCTTTCTTTTTTCTTTAGTCTATTTTCTTTGTGTTGATTGGGGGTAATTTCATTTGTTCTAGTTTAAATATATGTATGTACATATACTATATATAATATATTATACACACACACACACACACACACATACACAGACACAGATAGTGTTAGTGTGCATGCACATGTTGTCAGCATACATGTCTTCTTGTTGCTCAAGGAGCCAGAGAACGGCATCAGATCTCCCGGAGCTGAAGCATCAGAGTTGTCAGCTGCTGTGTGTATGCTGGGAACTGACTCAGGTCCTCAGGAAGAGCAACCAAGACTTGTTATTAACTGATGAGCCATCCCTCCAGCATCTGTTCTAGTTTTTAGTTCACAGTTGCTCCTTGGTCCCCTCTAGTCCATTCCATCTGTTGAGCTTTTAGTTTGGGTTGTTATGAACATGTAGATTTCCTCATAATCAAATGTGTGTGATTGTTCATTGAAGCATTTTATCATGGCTGTTAAATTCCTCACCACATAATTCTTGTCATTTCGGCAATCGGCATCATTGATCGTCATCTTCCTATTTCATGATACAGATGTTGAAACTTAGACATTTTCATTTGCTGCTCCTGACACTCTGAACCTCTGTGCTAGCTGGCTCCTGGGTCAGCTCTGGTTAGGAAGTAGGGCCACTGCTTTCATCCCCATCTGTGGAAGCAGATGTCCAGCCTCTGATAGGACCAAGGGGGAAGGACACACCTGGTACCGCTGAGGGGAGGGGGACTTCTGTCTCCTCATAGGGTCTTATTGGACCGTGGGTAAGCAGAGAGGGGGAATGGGGTTTATGCCTCCTATCAGCAGGGCTGATGACCCTGCTCCATCCTGATAATTGGGGCCCAAGTAAAGCTTTGTAAAGTAGAAATCTTAGTTCCCCCTTGGTACTGGCACAGGCAGGGAAGGGATGGGCCACAGTGCTCTCTCCCAGGGAGGAAAGCAGTTATATTGTCTAAACTTTAGGCTCTAAAGATTTTTGTCTGTGAGGCTGCTCTTTTCTGGTCCTTTGCTGGGGGACAGCAGGCTTTTCTTGGGACTTTCTGTTTCTCCCTCTGGGATTTCTGATGTCAGCTGCTTCAGCTTCAAGTCTGCACATATCGGACGAAAGGAAACACAGGGATCGACCATCACGCTGTTGCCAGGACCCCAGTGTTTCTGGCCTGTCTGCCCTCTCCTCACTCTTTATAATCTTTCATTTGGTTTGCCATAAAGCCCAATCCTTTCCTTCCTCAGCCAGAGTCCACATTCTGAGTTAGAATACAGACGTACTATACAGGCATTATACTGTACTGGAATTCAGCAGTATGTTTTGTGTTTGAGGGGAGGTTTCAGATAGAGGGCTATTCTCCCCTCTATCCATTCCTTTGGCTTATGCCTGAAGCATCGATATGATGGGTCCATTTGTGAAGATTTTTAAAAGTTTTGCAAACCACTAAAGTGAAAGCATTGCTCATGTGACTATTTAACAGACATGTTTGTGGAAGTAACTGAAAGATTAATGGAGGATAAACACTGACTACTAAAGAGTTAAAAGAACCAAAGGAATTACGAAGTTGAGTTTTACAAACAAAACAACGCAAATAGATACTGTGTGCTCATGGAACTTACATTTGAGTGTGTGTGTGTGTGTGTGTGTGTGTGTGTGTGTGTGTGTGTGCACATGTACATATGATGTGGCCTTGTGCATTTATTTATCCTTGCATGCTAGTTATTTATGGTCATTCAAGAGACTTTTCTTTTGGCATGTAGGTTCACGGTATACAGTTGAATGAAAAATTCATCAGAGACAGTCAACACAAACCACAACCTGTCCCTGATAAAGAAAATAAGAAACTGCTGTGTGGGAAGTGCAAGGCCTTTGCGTGCTACACGGCTGACATCCGAGTGGTTGAGGTGAGTAGCCCTGGCAGGCTGTAGTACTAGTTAAAGCTTTTTCATCTCCTGGAGAAGTGTTTGTGGGAAGGGCACTATTCTGTTGTGATTGTTGGCTATGGTCCCTGTATTAAGAAATAAAATCTTGCTTCTATGTGGGAGCCTGAAAAGCTGATATCATGGGAGCACAAAGCAGAATAGTGGTGCTATAGGCCAGGGAGTGGAGGGAGATGTAATTACAGCTGCCCCAGTCAGGCAGGATAGATACTTCAGGGTTCTACCACACAGCAGGGTGAGCACTGCTTACAGTTTCCAGTTCATTCTGGCAAAAATTAGATGAGGGAAATTCATAGCTTTGTAACATGAAGAGATGACAACTGTTCAGGCAGAAGGGAATGCTGATTACTATGATGAGATCGTTCCATGATTAGATTAATTATCACACTGCACACCATATGCATTGACAGTTGTGTCAGTTTGATAAAAATAAGTTAGTTCTTTTGAAAGTCTTTCTCTGTGGACCACTCTGGCTTTGAACTCACAGAGCTCTGCCTACCTCTGCCTACCTCCAGAGAGCACGTTTATAATGTAAAAATATAACACAGCTGGGGGCAGTGGTGTCGGCACTCTCCTTTAATGGCAATATCTGAAAGGCAAAGGCAGGTGGGCCTCTGAGTTTGAGGCCACCCTGGTCTACAGACAGAGTTCCAGGACAGCCTGGGCTATTTAGAGAAACCCTGTTTTGAAAAACCAAAACAAACAAAACAAAAAAGTAACACTTGCCAGGTTAGCCATCTACTCCCCCAACCCCTTAAAACTTTTTTTTTTTTCCCCTTTGAGACAGGGTCTCTATATAGCCCTGGTTGGCCTTGAACTCACAGAGATCCACTAGTTCCTGACTCCTGAGTTCTGGGATTAATGGCATGCACCACCATGTCTGTCCCCTTAAAACTTTTAATTAAAGGTTAGCAAAACCTCCAGAGATAAATGCTGGTGTAATTCTTGCTACCAATGGAGGGTGATGGATGGCTGTACTAGCTAGGGGATGGGCTACATAGGTCCATTTGGGCAAGGAGCATAAAGAGTGACATCTGTTTTCTGAATCTGATTCTTCAGATGGAAAAGGTCCTTTCAGATCCAGTTTCAATGGCTTCTTGTTCACTGTGGCCCTGTTAGACCATTTTCCTGGAGGATGGGATGCTGGGTCTGTGCTTGTTTCTGCACGGTACACTCTTAAACCAACTATCTACACTCTTAAATCAACTATCGACCGGGCCTGTGGACAATCCAGCTCCTGAGCCTCTACACACACACACACACACACACACACACACACTTTTCGTAAGTGCTCAACATACAGAACTTGTACCTCCTCCCAGTAAATGGGCTCTTCCCTGACCTGCAGGAGACTGTCCATAGTCTCTCTTGTTTGCATTTGTAAAATGACAGAGATCCCACTCACTCATCCTTGCTGGCTGGTGAGCAGTTTTTATGTCCTTTTCTGACTGCTTCTAACACCCTTTTGCATTCAATCTCTTCCTCACAGAAATCCCACTACACTGTCCTTGGAAAGGCTTTTAAGGAGCGCTTTGTGTCTAAGCTACACCCTAAACCAAAGAGCTATGATAGCTTCGAGAAGAAAGCAAAAATATTCTGTGCCATCCAGAACTGCCGCCATGATTGGGGAATCCATGTGAAATACAAGATGTTCGAGATTCCAGTCATAAAAATTGAAAGTTTTGTGGTGGAAGACATTGCAAGTGGAGTTCAGAGCCGGCACTCAAAATGGAAGGACTTTCACTTTGAAAGGGTAGAGTTTGATCCTGCAGAAATGTCTCATTGACCTTGAGGCTCCCAAGTCTCACACAGGGAGCGATGACTTGGAGGGCAGAAGCAATGAACCAATCCTTTCCCACACACGCTTACACTGTGTCGAATGCCAGATGACCTGACCTGTTTGTACCAAGCAGTTCTCATCCACACAAAGCACACACACACCAACTGTAGCACTCAAAACCTTATTCACCAATAACTCATAGCACTTGGCAATGGGGGGGGGGGGAACTTCCCTTTTATACTTTTTATACTTTTTATACTTTTCAGAACTGCCCACCAGTGAACACATAGCCACTGAATACATCAGGATTGCTCAACCTGCCACACACTGGCTTTGCCCTTAATCTAGGAATTTGTTCTTTTCAAGGCCACCAGACTGACTGCCAAGTCCAATGGGCACTTCTGGTTCTTGCATTGGACTCCTTTCTTGCTTTTGGCTCTGTTGCACTTCTTCGGATTCTATTGGTTTCTGCTCCTTTCCAGTCTTTTTTCATTGGTTTTTGTGGACAGTATAGGTGATTGCAAGGTTCAATATGCACAAATGTATGTATTAAAGTGACACATGCCTTTAAAATTTAAAACACTATAGTGGACAGCTATGCTTGCTGAGAAGGTATTTCTGTCCTGCTCATTTACTACACATCTTACTCTAAAGTCTGCTATTTTAACTTGGGCAATTTCCCATCCTTGATTAGACATCTCAAGCCATGTGCTCCTCCAACCCCAGCACCCTCTCTCCCTCTCTTTCTCTCATTTCCCTTGAGACAGGATCTCTGTAGGCCAGAAACTAGATATGTAGACCAGGCTGGTCTTGACCTCACAGATCTGTCTCTGCCCCTCTAGTGCTATGATGAAATGCTTGCCCCCCCTCTTTTAAAATATTTACCTTTATTTATTTCTTACATTCCAATCCCTATCCCCTCTCCTCTCCTCCCACTTACCACCCCCATCTGTTCCTTGGAGAGGGTAAGGCTTCCCCTAGAAGTCTACTAAGTCTGTCCCATCATCTCATTGAGGCAGGCCCAGGGGAACATCCTCCCGCCAAAGTCCCCCAAAGTGTCTATGCTGAGCAAGGTATCTCTTCATATAGAATGGGCTCCACTAAGTCAGTTTGTGCATTAGTGTTAGATTTTAGACCCACTGCCAGTGGCCTCATATATTGTCCAAGCCATACCACTGCTACCTATATTAAGGGTATCTAGTTTGGTCTTATGCAGGTTGTCAGCCCTGAGTCAGCGATCTCTCAGTAGCTCGGGTCAGCTGATTCTGTGGGTTTCTCCATCATGGTCTTGACTCCTTTGTTCATATTATTGCTCCCCGTTTGTTTTGATTGTATTCCAGGAGCTTGGCTCATTGATTAGTTGTAGATTTCTGCATTTGCTTCCATCTGTTTCTGGAAGAGGTTTCTAGCTTCTCTGGGGTTGTGGATTGTAGGCTGGGTATCTTTTGCTTTATGTCTGGTATCCACTTAAACTATATTTGTCTTTCTGGGTCTGGGTTATTTCACTTAGGATGATTTTTTCTAGTTCTGCCCATTTGCCTGAAAATTCTTACCACTAAGTAATAATTCATTGTGTAAATGTACCACATTTTCTTTATCCATTCTTCAGTTGAAGGGCATCTAGGTTGTTTCCAAGATCTGGCTATCACAAATAATGTTGCTACGAACATAGTTGAGCAAATGTCATTGTGTTGTGAATGTGCCTCCTTTGGGTATATGATAATGGTTATTGGTAAAATTCTTAATATGTTATAAATGGATTAAATGAATTTTCTGGGAGGTGACTTTCATTCATCACTTTTAATGTGATACCTTTCCTTGCTGCTGCAGCTTAAGAACATAATAGCATGTATGAAATATGTACTGGAAATTATTTGAAAAATCCCTTTAAACATTACAAGATTTAATTAAAAATCATTTATATATTTTGTGTATATGGGTGTTTTGTCTGCATGTACATAGGCAAACTAGAAGTAGTCATAGGATCCCTTGCACTATAGTTATAGATGGTTGTGGGCTGCCATGTGGGTGCTACGAATTGAACTCAGGGCCTCTGGAAGAGCAGCCAGTGCTCCTAACTGCTGAGCCATCTCTCCAGCCCCTGACAGTGATAATTTAGTTGAAGTGGAATAGTCCCTTCTCTGCCATTGGGGAAAAGCTGACTAAAGCTGAAACAGAACTGAGAATTTTTGTTGTTCATGAAGTTAAGCCACTTCCAGGTACACCCTGGAATGGAGCAAACTCTGGGTTAGTAAGTACTGCATGAGTAAAATAGGCAGGGTTTGAGAAATGCTAGAATGCTGGTAGCTGGTCTTTAGACTTCCTAATGGAAGGTTGCATCTGGAACCTCCCACGAGCACATGACCCACCGGTCCCCACTAGAGTCCTCACAGATTGCCAGCATGAATCCTTTTTAGAGATCAGATACAACTAGTTCTACAGTCATAGACTTGCTATTTTGTGATCAAGTGCTGATACTGTTCCATTTACATCTGGAAATGGAGTCTTCAAAGGTCTTATCATTATGCAGTGAGGTTGAAGTCCTGACTCCTGTACTTAAAACCCTTGGTATGAACCAGATTTCAAATAACAGACCAACCGGATGGCAGGATCTGCAAGCAAGTCTTGTGGGATGGTGCTGTGAGGTCCTCTGAGGGATGCAATGCATGGCCTGGGAAGCTTTTAGACCTTTCTTAGTGTTTACAGCACACAGGACCATAGTATTGCTTCTGTCATATCCACATCCATTTAAGCCAGTGGTCCTGAAACATTTCTGTTTGTTAATTAGCATCATGTAGAAACTCAGGAGTAGATATGTAGCTGGGATACCAGCAAAGTGAACTATAAACTTCTGGATCATGTTTTAATACACTGTAAATATAACTACCATTTCACTCTAAAAATCTGTATTTAACAGACAGGTTCAGGCTTGCTGGGTGCAAACTTCTAAAACCTGTAATAAAAAGAGCAGCTTTGATTAGTTTTGTTTATGGCAATTTGCCTAAGTAGACAGAAATTCGTTGAGTGCCAAATCACATCTGTGGTGATGGCATTTAACAACTTCCTAAAGCAGCAGTGACCAGTGGAATGGTTTTTGACTCCTGTACAACCCATGGGCTGGCTGCCCCACACTATCTCAACTGTGGTCGGAAGTCACCCTGTTTGTACACTTGGTCTTCAGAGGGTGGTGCTGTTGGGGAAGGCTGTGGAACCCAGAGGTGGAGCCTCTCTGGAAGTCTGGGCATGTATCCAGAGACTATAGCCAGTTCCACTTCTTGTCCTTTGCCTCATGCTTCCCTGCCTGCTTCTCCTCCAGGATGAGTGGTATTGTTCTGGAGCCCTACACCAAAATAACCCCTTGTCCTGTACACTGCTTTTGTCAGGGTGTACTCCTCCAAAAACAGAAGAGTAACTCAGATACTGATGCATTCCTGAGGATGCTGGCCAAGGCTTATTCCTCCAAAAACAGAAGAGTAACTCAGACACTGACACAGTCCTTAAGAAGCTGGCCCAAGGCATATTCCTACAAACGAAAAGTAACTTAGACATTAATACAGTCTTGAAGAAGCTGTGCCAAGGTTAAGGTCCTTCACTGATGAACACAAAGTCCTGTCTGTGCCTGCGGCAAATGTTTGTGATGACAAACGATTAACTGGCACCAAACAGCGGATGGTAGCCATATTCCTGACCCATGGAGGAACTCAGAAGAATACAAATAGATGTGTCTCAGAAGTTACGAGAATGTGAGCTGAGAGGGAGATAGATGATGGGTAAAGAGCCCGAGTTTAAGTTACCAGAACCAACTAAGCCTGAGGCCATGATGTCACTATCCTTTTAGTAACACAGGCCAATTTAGTTTTCTCTTTTGCTTAACCAACTTTGTGAAGACGAAATTTCTGTCCCACCTGGTCCCTCAGCAGTTTAGTCCCAAATAAACACACAAAGGCTTACATTAATTATAAACTGTTTGGCTTATGGCTCAGGCTTCTTATTGACTAGCTCTCTCTTAATTAACCCATTTATATTAATCTATGTATCTCCACGTGGTCTTGGCTTACCGGAGAATGCCTGGGGAATCCTACCTCCCCAATAGCTACATTGCATCTCTCTGCCTCTGCCTACTACCTTTCTCTATCCCTGTTTGGATTTCCTGCCTGGCTAAATCCTGTCTGTCTATTGGCTGAAATAGCTTTATTCATCAACCAAATAGGGAAACATATATTCACAGGATAATGACATCCCCCATCAACTTTGAGCTGTTCTTCTAACACCCTGAGACAGACATGACTACATATCCATTCTTTATATAGTATTTTTTATGTAGCACAAATGTTGTATATGTACACACACACACCACACACACCCCAAAATGTACTTTATTACTGTATTAAGTAAAATTTGCCAGTTAACTCACTTTGGTTGCCAAGGAATGCCTGTCCTTTGGAAGAATAAGGCAGTAATAGACTTGGAAAATCATAAACACACAGGCGATTATCATCCCCTTTTCAAGGGGAAGGAGGGAATGGAACCAGCAAGAGCTATTCTTTCAATTGAAAAGTAAGTGGGCCAGTACCACCTTGAGAACTCTGGTAAAAGGCTGTACAGTTTTATTTTATTTTGGACCAGCATAGGACACAGGCCAAAAATACTAAAGTAAAAAGAACAGAGGATACATTTAGATAGAGGTAAGAGTGAAAAGGTCTCATTCTGGAGTCAAAGCCACAAGAAACTTCCCTCATAACCAGTGTCTTAGCCCACAAAGGCTGCTACAAAATCTCACAGTCTGGATAGCTTAAGCATAGACATTAATGGAGGCTGAGAAGATCAGGATCAAACACTTTCTTCCCTAAAACTGCCAGTCAAGAATATTGTTTCCAAAACAGCCATTCTTTTAAAATGAAGAAAGAATAAAGGTTTTCCCAACATGGGATGAAGGAGTCATTTCTAACACAGCTGTCACAGGAAATGCCACAGGCAGCTCTTATGTGTAATTGAAGTTACAAATAAGAAAAGACAAAAGCATGAAACTCACAGGGAAAGTAGGTACACACCCATGGAAAACACTGCTGTATGGTATATAAACCTTTTACTACCATTTACTCCCACCCTAAGGTTTAAAGATAACACTATTAAAATGTTAAAATGTCACAACCATTTGTTAAGAGATGTACAATATGAAAACATGTCAAGTGTGGCATTAAAATACAAAACTTGGGAGACAGTTTTTATGTGACCAGAGTGTCACTCACTTTTAAAAGAGCCTGCAGTGTAACATGACCCCCTGAAGGCCTTGTGGTGAGCACAACTCCAGATATCTGGTAGATACTTAAAAGACTCCACTGAGGTACTTCACCTACTCATAAGGGACGGTGCTGAGAAGACAAAGGGACAACACATTGCTAAACAAGCAGAGCCACACGGAAGGAAGTGCTTGCCTACCAATAACAGGAGGCCTTTTAAAAATGTGCAAAAAATGTGTAAATATTATATTCCTGAACAGCTAATGAGCCAAAGGAGAAATTAAGGAAATTGAATTCCATGCAGTGGAAGAATTAAAGTTATTAATCTGTCTGCACTAACCCCATGATCTGCAGATTCAATGTAATCCTATGAAATTCCTAATGCCATTTTTTCCCCAATGATGTTTTTCTAAGATATAAAAGCAACTTTACTACATACATAAAACCACAAGACTCCCTCTAGCCAAAGGCATACTGAGCATAAAAACAAAGATGGAGTTACTACTGTTACCTAACTTCAAAGATATTACAAAGACATGGCAGTGAAAATAGCATGGTGCTAACATAAAAACAGGAAAACTCAATGTATAACCCAATGAAAAAGAACAGAGACCCCCCTCCTGATGGGAGATGTCATTCTGTAAATATGTTTCTCTTATTGGTTAATGAATAAAGCACTATTGGCCAATAGGAAAGGAAGATAGGAGGGACTAGGAGACGAGGAGGAAAGAGGAAGTAGTAGGGAGAAGTCAGCATGTAGAGATTGGCGAGAGCAGACACTGGCCCTCTCTCCAGTAAGATGAGACCACGTGGACACACTTAAATTAATAGAAATGGGTTATTTTTTAAGACAGAGCTAGCCAATAAGAAACTAGTAACTGGCCAACAGAATCATATCTAATACAGTGTCTCTGTGTGTTAATTGGGGCTGGCACCATGGTGGTTCCAGGCTGGCAGGAAAAACGTACTGTTAACATAAACCTGCACAGGTATGGTTAAATGACTTGACATGGAGTCATGGAGAAAGAGTTGTTTCTTCAAAAAAAAAAAAAAATGCTGTTGGAAAAAAATGAATGGTCACATGCAAAAGAATGAAGCTGGACCTTTATATCTTTATATTACCGTGTGTGTATGTGTGTGTGTGTGTGTGTGTGTGTGTTTGTGTGTGTGTGTGTGTAGATAGAAGATATAAGCATAAGATCTCACCCCACAAAAATATTAGATAAACACATAGGGGAAATGCCATGACACTGGTTATAGTAATGGTTTTTCTGGTCAGAACTTCAAGGACAAAAGCAACAAAAATGAAAATAGGCCCACAAGACTGTGTCGAGTTTTATAGCCAAGGAAATAGTTAAGAGTTAGATGGAGTATGAAACAGGTGAAAACATTGATGAACAGCTACTATCTAGACTATGTGGCATTAAAATTCAACAACAAAATGAAATAATTCAATTAAAGATGGACAAAAGACTTGAACAGACATTTTTCAAAAGAAGTCACAAAATGACCAACATGTATATGAAAAGACTCAGCATCATTAATCATCAGGGAGCTGCAAATAAAACCCTGAGTTAGCACTTCCAAATCCATTAGTATGGTCACTGTCAAAAAGACAAGAGGTTAGTACTAGGGAGAGCACGGAGGAAGGGTATGTGCGTACATGGCCAGAGGCCATGTACATGTAAAGACCC